TTTGCATATGTTGAACCACCCTTGCAACCCTGGATGAATCCAACTTGATTATGGTGTATGATCCTTTTTATGTGTTGTTGGATTCAGTTTCCTAATATTTTGTTGAGTATTTTTACACCTATCATTATCAAAGATATTGGCCTGTAGTTTTCTTTTTGTAGTGTCTTTGTATGATTTTGGTATGAGGGTGATGGTGGCTTCATGGAATGACTTTGGGAGTGTTCCCCCCTCTTTAATGTTTTGGAGGACTTTGAGAGAGATCATCGTAAGTTCTGTGTTTGGTAGAATTCTCCAGTGAAGCCATCTGGTCCTGGACTTTTGTTTGCAGAGAGGTTTTTTTTTATTATTATTATTACTACATAATCTATTTCAATTCCAGTGATCAGTCTGTTCAGATTAGTTAGTTATTTTTGCTTGATTCATTTCGGGGCGATATGTTGTAGGTTGTCCAGTTTGTTGGCATATAATTGTTCAAAGTATACTCTTAATGTTTTGTGGGGTTTTTTTTTTTTTTTTTGCATTTCTGTGGCATTGGTTATTATTTATCCTTTTATTTCTTATTTTGCTTATTTGGACCCTTTCTCTTGTTTAGCCTAGCCAGAAGTTTTTTTATTTTGTTTATCCTTTCAAAAAATGAGTTTTTGGTTTTAATGATCTTTTTCAATGTTTTTTTCTTAAACTCTATTTTATTCCCTTGCTGATCTTTATTTTCTTCTGCTATGGTTTTGTTTGTTCTTCTTTTTCTAGTTCTTTTAGGTGGTTGGTTAGGCTATTTGAGATTTTTCTTGGTTTTTGGTTTGTTTGTTTTTGTTTGTTTTCATAAGTGTTTTATTGTTGGCAGATAGCACCTTTAACAGTTAAATACATTTAAGTAATGTATAAGCTTCCCAGGTGGTGCTCGTGGTAAAGAATCCGCATGCCAATTCAGGAGATGCAAGAGACATGGGTTTGATCCCTGAATTGGAAGTATCCTTTGAAGGAGGGCATGCAACCTACTCCATATTCTTGCCTGGAGAATCCCACGGATAGAGGAGCCTGGCAGGCTGTAGTCCATAGGGTCACAAAGAGTTGGGCATGACTGAAGAGACTTAGCATAGCATAGCAGTATATAGGTGACTGCACAACTGCAGCACTGGTAACTAGATAGATAACCCTTTCAACTAGAAACCAACTAATAAGTAACTATCTAAATATTTAAAATACAGCTCTTATTTAGATCATCCTTTGTTTTGATCACCTTGGGTATATGGGGCTGCTGTTGGTCACACTGCAAATAGATTAAAGTCAGATCTTTTGACACCCATTCCTGGAGGTTTCTTTCATCCTCCAGCTCCAGAGCAAGCCCAAGTTTGTGACCTCCAGCATTATACTCTTCCCATCTACCAGAGCAGACAATGGAGGCTTCATACCAGGCCTGAGTCTGAGTGTAGCCTATTCCAGTTAAACTATAGTTGTTGACTTTTGCAGAAATTGAAGCAGTAGGATCCAACTGATATTTAGCTGCAATGCCGAAGCTAGTACAGCTGGTTCCTGATGTCCAAGAAAGGTTTATTGAAGTGTGAAGATCTTCACATACTTTTGGTTAAATTGATCCTCTAAATTCTTCCCCATCATTGGCATAGTGTGTAGCTGGAAGTCCTCAGTCCCACTATCTTCATCTCCACCCCTTTACCGTGATTTATATAAAAATATAAAGTGAATTGTGAAAATGCTCCATCCTCCCAAAAGTCCTACGAGATCTTTGGGTCTCACCTCCCTTTTTTATATTTATGGGCACCACTCCACTCCTGATTTGTGGGACACAGAGATTTATATCCTCTAGCAACTCATAAATTTTAACTTTCTCTCATGATCTCATTGTATTGCTAGGTTTGAGATGCTTGATGCTGCAAAGAACAAGGTCCGGGTGAAGATCAGCTATGTAATGATTGCCTTGACAGTGGCAGGATGCATATTGATGGTTATTGAGGGCAAGAAGGTAAGAGTGGACTTCCCCTCTATCTTTATATATTTTGCACAAAAGACCTAGAGGAAATCAGGGGTTAATTCTTGTATTTATTCTCTGTGATGAGGAAGTCACTTCCTATACAAGAAATGATAAGAAACGAAATAAAATATGGTAGAACCAAACCTGAGATTATCATGCCTGGAGATAAATAGCAAATCCTAACTTTGGCATGCTGAAAAACTAAATAGTTTTGGTTAAGTAAAAAAAGTTTTTAGATGTCACAGGTGTCATAAGGAATGTGAAACAAGATGTACGACACTGGCATATATACGGATATCTCCTTGTATGTCTGTAAAGCACTCACAGTACATGGACTTATTGATCCTCACTCTGCCTTAGTCTTGGTGAGTGTTCTTATCACTGTTCTCTACTTGGCCATCTGTCTAAGCTCCTAAGCAGTACACAAGCATTCAGGTTCACACAGGCATTAATAACTATCTTACTGTCTTCCAGGTACCTTGCTGTTTATCTCAGTTAAATCTTACAATAACACTGCAAGGTAGATACTAGGACCTCATTTATAAATGAGGAAACATAGCTTAGAAAGCTTAGTAACTTACCCAAGTTCACACACATCTCCCTAACAGCAGAGCCACAGTTTGTATCTAGACCTAATTGAGGTGACAGGAAAAGTACTCCCACTTACTGAGTGCTCATTTTATAACAGGTATTGTTAAACTTGGGCTTAGTGGTTAAGAATCCACCTGCCAATGAAGGAGACCCAGGTTCGATCCCTGGGTTGGGACGATCCCCTGGAGTTGGAAATGGCAACCTGCTCCAGTATTCTTGCCTGGAGAATCCCATGGACAGAGGAGCCTGGCAGATATATAGTCCATAGCGTTGCAGAGTCCAACACAGCTGAAGCAACTTAGCACAGCATAGCACGTTGTTCAACTTACTTAGTCACAATAATTCTGAGAACCTAAGAGGTCAGTTCTCTTATCCATGTTTTGTAAAAGAAGAACCAAAACTTATTTACTTTTCCCAGTGTCACATAACTAGTAAGTGACAAGACAAAAATGTAGAGTCAAGTTTTCCAATTACTATTTTGTGATTAAAATACAGATATTTTTCTATGCAGCAGTACTGGCCAAGCCATTATTTAAATCCCATGTTTAATTCTATATATCACAGCTCCCACATGGAAAGAAATGTCTTATATCTATTGTCAAGAATTTAAAGCGTTCTTCTGCAAACCCAGTGATAACTGACTTATGTGCAGTGAGTCCAGAGTAAAAGTGAACTTCTGACTCTCTTTAGAGTCTTGGAATAGAAAATACCAACCATTTAGGCTGATGTTATGACAGCATGAAGGGCAAGTGTGGAGGCCTGGGTGAAGTTCTCTTGACAACTGTGTTCCTACCCTACTTCAGTATTTTTCCTGTCTCCCTCTTTGACTTTTCATGCTTAGCTCTCAGATTGAACCTACAGAGCATATAAAATAGGATATAGGGGTTCTAAGAATTCTGAGAAATCTGCATTGCTTTTGTCTACTTGATGATGCTAGCTGAGTTTAAATACTCCACAAACAGATCACTCCCTGGGATCCCCCCAGCCTCATGAAAGGGTATGCACTGTATAAAGAGCTCCTCTCCTGTCCTATACCATAAATATTATTTTTCTTTTATGGAATTGTCCATTTCTGAAAAGTTGGTAAAAGCTACCGGAATGACTAACTTCTGAACTTACTGTGGTTTAGAAGAGAGGAATTAGCCATTGTGTTTTGTCTCTTCATCATCTAACCTTCTGCTTCTCCGCCCCCTCCATACTTAATGCTGAAGAAAAACACCACTGTCTAGGGTGCTGGTTTCACTCATTTGGTATCAAAATTTGAAACTGGACTGTTTATTTAAGCTTCACAGAGATATAACAAGTCAGAGGGAGGGAAGTAAGGGAAGAGGATGGTTGCATCTCCTCCTCTGCTTTTCACTCAGAGGATAAAGTGGCAAGGTGGACACTGCTGGGAGTCATCAAGGGTACTACTTGGTGATAGTCAAATATGGGATCCCCAAAGCTGAATGTTTTTGGTAAAAGAGGAATAAGGAACTAGAAGGGTGTGAAAGTATACAAATGAATTGGGGATGGAGAAATGGTAGCAACAAAGAAAAGTGAGAGGAGGAAAACGGGGGTAGAAATGGAAACTAAAAGGTATTTAATACTAAAGAGAGGAAAAGAGAAAGACAAGGGAATATATTATAAGGGAGAAGAGAGGCTAGAAGATTTAAACAGAAAGGAAGAGAAGGCAGAGGTGTGGCATTTCTCTTGTGCTTGAATGGATAGACTGCCATACTAGGAGCATTAGAGGAGGCAGAAGACACATGGAGAGGGCTGCTGTACCTGGTGAAAACAGCAAACCATTCCACCATGCCTGTACTTGCCATGTCAGTTAATGACATCCTCCCCGACCCGGCATAAATAATCACTTGTTCACATTCGTTTCACTTTAGGCTGCCAGAAGAAATGAGACTTTAACAAGCCTGAACCTAGAAAAGAAAGCTCGTCTGAGAGAAGAGGCTGCTGTGAAGGCCAAAACAGAGTAGCAGATATATTGGTGTTGGTTGGATTTTGAAGATCTAGAAATAATGCTGCAGCAATAGGCCTTACTAAAAAGAATGTGGTATATGAGCTTCCCTATTTCCACTCTAGAGCCACAAATAAATTTTCTTAAAGAAATCACTCGTCTGTATTTTACAACTTTCAGTTCAGTTCAGTTGCTCAGTCGTGTCCGACTCTTTGCGACCCCATGAACCACAGCACGCCAGGCCTCCCTGTCCATCACCAACTCCTGGAGTTTGCCCAAACTCATGTCCATTGAGTCGGAAATGCCATCTAACCATCTCATTCCCTGTTGTCCCCTTCTCCTCCTGCCTTCAATCTTTCCCAACATCAGGGTCTTTTCAAATGAGTCAGCTCTTCACATCAGGTGGCCAAAACACTGGAGTTTCACCTTCAACATCAGTCCTTCCAGTGAACACCCAGGACTGATTTCCTTTAGGATGGATTGGTTGGATCTCCTTGCAGTCCAAGGGATTCTCAAGAGTCTTCTCCAACACCACAGTTTGATCTAGGTTAAATGAAGCCTGTTTTTTCAAGAAAATGAAAGAATGAAAAATGAGATGACTTATTTGAACTTTATTATTAACTCTTCTTTATAGCCAGGTCCCATATCCTACTTTAATTCCCATTACCAAAGTGACATCTCCTCAGAAGCCAAATGGCTTGTGTGTCCTCATTTCTGGAGAGGTAAGGAGGGACAGCTGAGTACACTGCCCGGGTGCACGTCGAAGAGCTAATCTTCCTGAATGCCCTGGTGCTTCTCAAGAGCTCTGGGAAGCAACCAGACCACACTCTGCCTTTGTCAGGTATGCTGGTAAACAGAAGCTTTTAGGAGAGCAGTCTTTGAAAAAGTCCTGGCAAGGTGATGATGGCGTTCTGGCCACAAGTTTCTGAGGATTTTGAAATCCCAACACCATAAAGGTAGTTGAGACCAGCACAGATGCCTCTTCTGCTCTGTGGCTTAGAATTCCTAACTGGTCCTTTCCTTCTGCTTTTACACTGAATTTCTCCATTATGAAAAGCTATCAAATACATTTTATTAGTGTTGAAAAATAAGCATCTGTACCTCACATATATCTTGTTGAGTTTGACGGGGATGCCAAGTTGTCTCATATTTAGGTATGGATGCTGGTTTCTATTTAAGTGTTTCATTTATTCTCATATGCTTCATCAGTTTTAAGGGATGGCAAGTCCTTATAAACATTCAGAGGGTTATATCAGATTAAATAATATATGCAGCTGTTTGGGAACTTAGTTTAATAAAATACTCAGTAAAATCTAATGTACTACTCTACAGCTTCATAATCTATCTGATAACTATATCTGTCTGTATAGGGTACTTTGACCTTAGCTTTTAGATACCAAGCTCTGTGATTTTTATCACTTGCAAATTTATCATCAAAAAGCATTACTTTATATACATTTTAGCAGATTAGTCTTCCTTGATTAAAAATTTGGAATACTTGCATATTATCTAAATGTAGCTTTTAAATATGGGTAAATCTAATTTTTTAAGTGTTGTGTTCTTGAAGATTTATTGTTGTAAAATGTTTAAGTCAAAGCTCAAAAATCCTACCATGCAGCAAGAATTTATATCATCATTTTGTGTCAGCTATCCTATTTAGTAACTTATAATAATGACTGCCTCTTTTGGAGTTGAATATAAATTTTATGACCAGAATTTAAGACCTTCCCCCATCTAATCCCACTTCTCCCAATAGCCTCACATATTAACTTCTGAGCTGTCACACACCCTACTAGTAATTCTAGTATCTTATATTGCTTACAACTTCTCAAGCAAATCAGATTTCATGAGCACTATTATAAGCAACAAGGGAAAAACTGTCTTCTTTTGTATTCTATAGTACCCATTTTCAATTAAGTGATTGTCAGTACTATTTTTGCTTAATTTCTGAATTATTTTTTCATGTTTATCAATGTCTCTACAGGTAAAGGGGGCAGAAAATGTTTTCCAATTTATATTTCCTATAAACCCTGTTTGAATGAGTTAATGTGAGGCTATGGCTAGGTACTTTTAGGTTTTAACAAAAATAATAGTATGGGGGATTAACTCCAAAATTTATTGAAATCAGGCAACAAGTGAAGGTTGTGATGGTGGTGTAATTCATTGTCATTAATCGAAGATTACTTGAGGCCCTTTTATATATAAAAACTGAGAATACAAAGATGAATAAAACATAGAGTCTACAGAGCTCATAATTTACTGGACACATGGCCTGTGAAACCATTACAGCACAGGCAGGCAGTGATAGTTTCACAAGGTGGTGATTTCTGAACTGAGTTCGCAGCATGGGCAGAAGTGGGTAGTTCAGACGTAATAAGCAAGAGGCTTTACTACTCAGACATTGAGCTTGCCCTGAGAATCAGGAGAGGGCAGTCTGACATGGTAGTTAGAGGTAAATGCCTCTCACAGTAAAATGCCTTTATTAATCTTGCTTTGGTTTATTTTTATTTTTTATCCTGGTAAAAAGACTCAGAACACAACCATTACTTGTTTTTCCCAAATTACAAACTTGATTCCACAGACCATTTCAAATCCCATCATGTAGGCTGTCACTTAAACTGTGGGAGTAGCATCTGACAAATCTCCAGTCCACCACCATCCCAGGCTTATTCTCTTCTGATCTCCCAAACCAAATACCTTGGAGTTATTCCAAACTCCCTTGCTCCCCTCATTTAATCAGTCATCCTGTTTTGTGAGCTTTACTTCTAAATTTTATCAAATACAATGATCCTCTAGAATAGTCATTGAAAGGAATAAAATGAGAATCTGTTCAAGGACAGACACAAGAGGTTCATCACAGACATCAAATTACAGTCAGAAACCCTGGAATCTAAACTTGCATTTCCAACTGTCTTAACTTTGTAAACGGAGGCTACAGGTCTCAAATTGTTATAATGCAAGACAATGTTAAAAAAAAATACAAAACCAAAATACATGCCAAAATTGAGAGAACACCATCTTTTAAAATACCTTTTTTAAAAAAAATAAAAATAAAATAAAATACCTCTTTTTGGCCAGTTTGACTCTACCACTTGATTTCTAAAGGGTTTAGTAAGTACTCGTCCACAATTTAACTGTTTTGTCATTTCCTAATGCTGCTGAAGCAATGATGTTTTCTGTAGGATGACAATCTGCTGAGATTACCACATCTGTATGACCTTGTAATTTCTGTACAATCTCCTTAGTTTGAAGGTTCCAAATGTATACCAGGTTATCCTCTGAACCAGAGACAATCCATTTTCCACCAGTAACTGAAAAACTGGCAAATACACAGTATTTCTCATTCTTGTGACCAGTATATGTCTTCAGGCATCTGCCTCTGCTGTAATCCCATAGTTTAAGAGTATTGTCCAAAGTTGCAATGAGAATGTATTTACCATTTGGAGAAAATTTTACAAAAGAGACAGGAGGGTTATCATCATCAACAAGTGCTTTTAAACACTGACCTGATGCAGCATCCCAGATTCGACAGACACCATCATAGCTACCTGATACTATCAAGGACCCACTACAATTAAAATGAACAGCAGAAACTGGGTCAGAATGAGCTGACAAAGTCTTAAGGCACTTGCCTGTTCTCACCTCCCATATTTTCACGCTTTCATCAAAAGATCCTGAAATGATGAGGTTGGACGGTGGATTGAAATTACAGCAAAAAACGTAATTACTGTGCCCCTTAAGTGTTTTCAAACATTTTCCAGATCTCACATCCCAAATTTTTAGAGTTTTATCATCTGAGGCAGAAACAAGACGACTGGAATCTGATGACCAGGCAACATCTGATATTTCAAGATTGTGTCCTTTAAGTGTTTTCTCATATTTTCCATCATAGGCTCCCCAAATTATAATTACTTTATCAGCAGAAGAACTTGCTAGCCATTCTCCATTAGGACTAAACTTAACTGACGATACTGCTTCCGTGTGTCCCTCCAGAGTGAATTTCAGAGCGTAGTTTGGTTTTTCAGACACTGGCTCGCTCTGATTGGCAGATGAAGGGAGAGCCGGCTCTGCTTTCGTATTTCCTGACTGTTGTGTAGTCATGACTCTGAAACTCGAAGTCGGTAGGTTGGCTAGATGTCCGGTCTTGAACCAAGCAGTCCGTATTTTGGCTTTGTATACAGCAAAATGAAGATAAAAAACATCTGACTCAAAAACAAAAAAAAAAGGTCTTTTAGTGACTAATCTCTGGATCGTTTTTAAACAACGATATCCGCTGGTTCAGCAGCACAGCTTGGACCACTTCACTTTTTCCTCGCTGCTTCTTCTGTAAACAAGTACTTTAGATATACTATTAAAACAGTTCCGTGCGCTGTCGGCAAGTAAGGTATTAATGCTGGGTGTTTTGTGACTACATAACGCGCTTCAAAGCTGCAAGCGGTGGCGGGGGGGAGGCGGGGGGGAATCTACAGAAAATATTTTTCACTGCTTCTCCCCCAGCTCTGAAATATCTGAGTACCCCAAGCTGCCTGACTTTAGACACTGTACTTTGAGCATGAATAGTTGCCGCTTTAAACAAGATTTCAGAAGCTAAGCAAAAACCTGCATACACACGATTTCTTAACGCCCACACCTGCCGCCGACGCTCCAAACAGCTGCGTAAGGAATGACGCGTGCGCATGACAGCCCGGAGCCGGGCGCATGCGCAGAGGATGCCCCTCCCACCGCTTCCGAGCCGAGGAGGCTTGTGGGAGAAGTCGGTTTACGCTTGCGCAAAAGCAGACGCTGGGGTTTCCTTCCGGCCTCTGCAGGAAGGGCTTCTTCCAGACCTCGCTGGATAGTGTGGGAAGCTGTATTTCAGAGACCATTCATCACTTTTTTGGAAACCGCGTGACGAGGAAGAACTGAATTTTGAGATGCCTGCAGGCATGGATTTGGATGTAAGCCGTTCGCACTGCGCGTTTCTTAGCCTTCCAGGGCCCACTCAGCGCTGGTGACTCCGTATGAGCTCCTGCTGCACAGGTGGCTTTCGTTCTCCTCTCCAGCCGTTATGTAGAGCCTGGTGGCGGGTTCGAAGGCCTGCAAGTAGGCGAGGGCAACGTAGCCAAGTTTATGCCCAGATTTAAGTGTGTCCCGTAAGTGTTTCGGGATGTTTTCACTTCAGTTCAGTGGCTCATTCGTGTCCGACTCTTTGCGACCCCATGAATCGCAGCATGCCAGGCCTCCCTGTCCATCACCAACTCCCGGAGTTTACTCAGTCGAGTCGGTGATACCATCCAGACATCTCATCCTCTGTCTTCCCCTTCTCCTGCCCTCAACCCCTCCCAGCATCAGGGTCTTTTTCCAATGAGTCAACTCCGCATGAGGTGGCCAAAGTATTGGAGTTTCAGCTTCAGCTCTTCCAATGAACACCCAGGACTGATCTTTAGACTGGTTGGATCTCCTTGCAGTCCAAGGGACTCTCAAGAGTCTTCTCCCAACACCACAAGGCCAGCGCCTAGGTAGCCTAACATGGTAGTGCCGGGGGAAATGAGCAAACGTTTTAGCCCTTCCTTATGGTTTAAATTTCCAAAGACAAGGAAAGTTCAGATCTGCTAGGTGCTTGGAACAGAAAAGGTGGAATAGGGTAAAAAATGTGTAAAGTGAAAGTGAAGTCGCTCGGTCCTGTCCGACTCTGCGACCCCGTGGACTGTAGCCTGCCAGGCTCCTCCATCCTTCGGATTTTCCAGGCAAGAATACTGGAGTGGATTGCCATTTCCTTCTCCATAGGATTTTCCCGAACCAGGGATTGAACCCAGGTCTCCCTCATTGTGGGCAGACGCTTTACTATCTGAGCCACCAGGGAAGTCCGAAAAAAAATAGTAGTGTTACTCGTAATTAGGCTTTAGCCAGCCCTCCCTAGTTTTAAGAACTGATTAGTGGCTGTGAAATATGTGAAGGGTACGTGCTTTTCAGATGTTGTTTAGTCGCTAAGTCGTGTCTGACTCTTGCGACCCAGTAAACTAGCCCTCAGTCTCTTCTGTCCATGGGATTTTCTAGGCAAGAATAGTGGGATCGGATCAAACCAGTGTCCTGCATTGGCAGGCGGATTCTTTACCATTGAGCCACCAGGGAAGCGCTTTCCAGGTGTAAATTAATCTTTAGTCAAGAATAGGTTTACCCAAAATGAAAGCCTGACTAGTTTCTCCAGTCCTTTTTAACTATCCCTTGGTATCTGCAGGTTAATTGGTTCAAGGGCCCCCCCTCCCCTCCCCCCACACATCACAGCAAAATCCAGTGGATGCTTATCTTTCCTATAAAATGGTGTGATGTTTTTATATAACCTACTTATATCCTTCCCTGTAAGTAATCTCTGTATTACTTACAATACTTAATACAATATAAATACTATGTAAACAGCTGCCAAGATGAAGCAAGTTTTGTGTTTTGAAACTTTATGGATATTAGGGGGGAAGATTTTTCATCTGTGGTTGGTTGAATCTGAGGCTGTGTAACCCACAAAGGGAGGGCCGATCCTAATTGTTCAATAGAGTGCCCAAGAGAGGCTGTTTGTGTTCTGTTTGAAAGGTTTTCCTGCTAGCCGGTTGAAGTCAAGAGGCAAATATGTCTCATGATGTTTTCTGTCAGTCAGGAATTAAAACATTTGGAAACAAAAGCGTCCCCTATCTATACTTATTGGGGATAATTGAAAGTCTTGTTTTTATAAGGCACAACAGCATAACTACACCTACAATAAACTAGTAAAAACCTCATTACTTAAACACCCTACTACTCTAGTTTGGAATTTAGACAGTTGTTGTCTTAGCTAGTGCAAATTAATGGTATAAACAATGAGGTGCTGAGAATGGGAAAAGCATCTTTAAAATGGTTTGGAGCATCCGTTTTTATACATTATTTTAAACTGATTAAACACCTCCTGCCTCTTCTTTCCTCCTATTTGATAGGGTTAGTGTGATTTTTACTGGGAAGCTTAGAAACACTAAATTCATTAAAAAATTTAAAAGCACTTCACAGAATAAAGCATAGGCTTTGCTTCAAAGAATATAAGTAAATCTGTATTTTTCCAACACAGAGTAAAGAAAGGAAATTGTTGTTTAGTTGCTAAGTCATGTCTGAGTCTTTGCAACTCTGTGGACTGCAGCATGCCAGGCTTCCCTCTCCTTCACCATCTCCTGGAATTTGCTCAGATTCATGTCCATTAAGTAATTAAACAAGGTGAACACATAGTATGAGAGCTAGGATGGGTGTTGGTACTGGAGTATATTTAGCCCACTAGAAATGTCACAAGCATGAGGTATAAGGGGGCACACAATTAGGAATGTGTTGACAGGAATATCCAGAAATAATTTTTCATCAGATTTTCTTAAAATTTCAGTGGAGAAATTTCCATTATTCATTTTTCACTATCTGGAATGTTGTATGAATAGTATCCAGAACTCATGTAAAGAAAAAGCTATGAATATAACTAGTTAAATCTTTATTCATTAGTCATGTTCTAACACTCACATATAGTCCTGATATTGTACTCATTATAAATTAGAACAAAGAGTATAATAGTTTACTTCCTTGGGAAGAGGGGAGCATCAGCAACTGTGGAGTGTGTAGGAACAGGGAATACTAATATGTGTAGGAACAGGGAATACTAATATGTGTAGGAACAGGGAATACTAATATGTGTAGGAACAGGGAATACTAATATAAGTGAATCCAAAATGACTGAAACCACAACTGGAGATTTGTATTTGGGACTCTTCAAGCAAAGTTCTTCCCTGGCAGCTCAGACAGCAAAAAATCAGCCTGCAATGCAGGAGACTCAGGTACGATCCCTGGGTTGGGAAGATACCCCTGGAGAAGGGAATGGCTACCCACTTGTGTCTTGCCTGGAGAATCCCATGAACAGAGTAGCCTGGTGGGCTACAGTCCATATTAGGGTCACAGAGTCAGACATGACTGAGCGACTAACACACAAGAAATGTTCTTTACTCGGTCCTGTTTTTAATTTCTCTTTTTGCTATGTTTAGTCTTCACCAGATAAAAGTGATTTTGTAAGTTTCTCTCCCATTAAAGTTTCTTTAAATTTCCTGTAAAAGTTTTAGAACTCAGTCTCATCTGTGGTTGAAAGGTTTATGCTTCTTGCCATCCAGTAAAGTTGGAGCTAGTCTAAGTAGAAATATTGCCACATACATTCGTTAATATACAGTATTTGTTTTTCTCTTTTTGACTTACTTCAGTATGTATAGTAGGTTCTGGGTTCATCCCCCTCACTAGAACTGACCTACATCTGTTCTTTTTTAATGACTGAGTAATATTCCATTGTATATATTTACCACATCTTCATTATCCATTTGTCAGTTGATGGACAACTAGGTTGCCATGCCCTGCCTATTGTAAATGTTGTATGGCAAAACCCAGAACAACATTGTAGAACTTTTTTAAATTAAAAAGACAGACACAAAGAAATACTGCCACAAATGGGTCATTTTTTTTATATTAAAAAAAATTGGGAGGATAGGTATATGTGCTAAACCTTAACATGGCCTGGGGGTGATTTCTATACTACAGAACGACTTAACTGACTTCCTTCATAGTAAGTCTAATTGCCAAATCCAGACCTCAAAACTCAAGCATAATTGAACTCTGAACATCCCCAGTTGCTTAAGACCACCAACAATTTAAATATATGAAAATCTCTTTGGGCTAAACATGCTGCTGCTGCTGCTAAGTCACTTCAGTCATGTCCGACTCTGTGCGACCCCATAGACGGCAGCCCACCAGGCTCCGCCGCCCCTGGGATTCTCCAGGCAAGAACACTGGAGTGGGATGCCATTTCCTTCTCCAATGCGTGAAAGTGAAGTCTCTCAGTCATGTCCAACTCTTTGAGACCCCATGGACTGTAGCCCACCAGGCTCCTCCGTCCATGGGATTTTCCAGGCAAGAGTACTGGAGTGAGGGGCTAAATATGGGATGGCCATATAACTTATCTAAACTTTTTTAAAGTGAAAGAGGGCACTAAAATAATTAACAGGTGTTGATTTAAAAACTAGGACTGCCGTCAGCAAACCAGAACATTCAGTGGACTTCCCAAGAGGGCTCTCATCAAAAGTTAATCGTGAAAGATTCTACACTCTGTATGCTAATTTGCACTCCAACCTGTCTAGATCCCTCTCCATTATTGTGGCCTTCTGGGTTTCTATTTACCCATAAATAATGCTGGGCCCAAGTGTGTTAAATAAGGCAGTGATCCATACTGACACCCTCTGGGCTCCTTTGGCCTCAAGTTAAGTGGGTATAGATAAAGGAATTTAGAGAGTAATTTTATTCTTTGGAAAGTGATTCAAAATCACAGAAATGAACACATACTGATTTTAAAATTAGAATACTTTTTTCCAAAATGGCGAATGAAATGGGGCAAGTCATCTAAGCAAGCTTTAATAAATTTGTAAACCCAACTGGATGATCATGTAGTCTGCAGGAACTAAGACTGTTTTAAGACTGTTTTGTTTTCAGAAAATACCTGGTCAGTGAAACCTCTCAAAAAATGGTAGAGAAGCAATCACAGTGAATAAATACATCTTTCTGTTTCTACTGATTGGCCACTTAAATTGGAAGAATGCATAAAGAAAATATTCTCATGCAGCAATATAAGCAGTGTGTAAAGATGAAAAATTTAGTAGTCTAAGGCAAGCACGAGCTTCCACATTCGTTGGATATAATCGGCCAAAAATTTTTTTCTTCTTAAGAGTATGCCAAAAGAGATTGATGAGCTATTTCTGGTGTATATATAAACATGGGGTTGGTAATATTAGTTACCCTTTAAAATATACCCATTAACTTTCTGAGAAGGCATTTTCAAGCTTTGGGTTTTTTTCTTTATGTAACAAAACTTGTGTTAGGGCAGTTTGGTTTTGTAAACTTAAGGTCAAATTATGCCTCCAGAAAGGGAACTACATATAAAACACATGCTGAGACACTAGCTTTAAGAGTTGTTCATCCTAAACATGTATATTATCTAGGGTGAAACAGATCACCAGCCCAGGTTGGGTGCATGAGACAAGTGCTCTGGCCTGGTGCACTGGGAAGACCCAGAGGGATCGGGTGGAGAGGGAGTTGGGAGGGGGGACTGGGATGGGGAATACATGTAAATCCATGGCTAATTCATTTCAATGTATGACAAACACTACTGTAATGATGTAAAGTAATTAGCCTCCAACTAATAAAAATAAATGGAAAAAAAAAAAGAGTTGTTCATCCTGGTTTCAAACAGCAGCATAAAGGAATTCCTTTGAGCTTTCTTTTGTAACAAAGTGGAAGTCACTCAGTCTTGTCTGACTCCTTGCGACCCCATGGACTATACAGTCCATGGAACTCTCCATGCCAGAATACTGTAGTGGGTAGCCTTTCCCTTCTCCAGGGGGTCTTCCCAACCCAGGGATCAAACCCAGGTCTCCCACATTGCCGGCAGATTTTTCTACCAGCTGAGCCACAAGGGAAGCCCAAGAATACTGGAGTGGGTAGCCTATCCCTTCTCCAGCGGATCTTCCCAACCCAGGGATCAAACCAGGGTCTCCTGCATTGCTGGCAGATTCTTTACCAACTGAGCTATCAGGGAAGCCCAGTACCCTTTACTAATATCACATAGATGCACATTCCTTCAGTCATTTAACATTTATTGAATGTCTACTGTGTGCAAGGCACTCATCCATGGCCTGACCAACCACATTCAAGTACAAAGAATCATTAGAACCATTCCAAATCAAAGTGTAAAAACACTTTGAAAAAGGACATAGAGTGGTCAAAATGACGAGGTAAGCAGAACATAACATACATTAAAAGGTCATTTTTTAAACTTTGGACACTCCTTGGGTTGATAATCCTTTAGGAAGTCAGCTGTGTTAAATTCACATCCATGGATGGCACTGCTTTCTATGGCAACATTCTTCATTCCAAAGCCTTTTCCCTCTGTGTCAGTACTTTCTACATTTAAATTTGTTGACTGGAAACATGTTTCTCAGTTTAGCCATCATGCTACTAAACTCAATGAATCATGTTATTTTTAACTTGTCAAGTCATAGAGAATTTTAGCACCACCGAAGAGGAGAGATGTTTGGATTGAGTCTCTACATTCCGGATTGTGTAGCCTAAAAGCAGTTCATACTTGATTTAGTCATTTCAAGGTGCTGATAAGAATAAGAATGGTCCAACAAAACAAGTAACTTGGCCCAGCTGTGGCTGCCGTGTCCTGTTCTGGGAATTCTTAGCACAGAACACTTGTGACTGCTGCTTTCTTCAAGAAACAAACTGCAGGGCTTTCCCCCACCTTTGGCAGTGACTAAGGATTGTGACCTCGAGGCAAAGTAAATTCTCATAAGTCTTGATTTTGTCACCATAATGACAAATTATCCACCTCAAAGAGGCAGTTAAAAGGATTAAATGAGAAAAAGTGCAAGTCCTTAACCAGGCACCTGTAAGACAATAGTGGTTCAAATAAAGACTAGTTCCCTTTATCTGACCTGTAAGAAAACAGACTAGGATTTCTTTGTCTACTCCTAGCTGAAAACAGAATGGAACTTCATCTACCCTTAATCCTTTCTCCTTACTCCAAACTTCCAGATGAATTTTATGTCCGGTAGCAATCTGATATTTTAAAAATCAGCATATAGTGGTATTTGTTTTATCACACCTTCTTTATGATGCTCTGGTACCCACTGTTACTACCTTTTCCTGACAATAAAGCACGTTACAGAATATTATCCAAATTAGAACAGACTTACTGGACTAGTAGTGCCACATCTGGTCTTCAATTACTTTAAAAATATACACACACACACACACACACACACACACACACATAAAACTTTAACTTCTGATGACAGAAAAAGGTAGCCACAAGTATTTCTCAACTGGGTAGATATATATATTTACTCTGCTTACCTCATAACAGAAGAAAAAAATGGTTTTAACAGAAGCTAACAGCTTCAGATGGCAAAAAACTCAGATGAGACTTCCACAATAGGTACACCTGTCTGAGCAAATTTTGGAATGTAGGAGGTAGAACATAGTAAACATGAAAAGCAAATAATACCTCTTCCTAAAAGTGGATCCCCTCTTTACTGAAAATCATCCTTAGACATCACAGTTTCCAATATATGCAGAAAGTCCCAAGCCCTTAAACAGCTATAATGACTTGCCTCTTGATATTAAAATGTTCACAAAATGAAAAATTCTTTAAGCTGAGGAAAACTTTCATAATGCAACCTCAAATTGGGGGGGGGGGTTAAATAACTGAAATATTTATTTATCACTGGAGAAGTAAATTCTTAGTTGCCCATGGGTGGCCATGTACAACAGACAGCTGACAAAGTCTGCTTAATAAAATATACAACATATTTTTTCTTATGCAAAATCAGCAACAATCTGGGATAATTCAGATTTATTATGGGGTAACTGTCGAAAGTTTATATCTGTGACAATAATGGTGAAAAACAACCCAGAGTCCATTCAGCTTTATCTGGCAGACGGAAGGTACAATCCTAGGGCAACAGAATTTTCAAAAACAGTACAGTTGACAAAGTGTAAAAGGGTTCTAATTACTTAGTGACAACATAAAGTGTTCCATGGAGAACTGTGTCTCCTAAATCTCACATTCTTCATACCTATCATCTTTACCTTTCTAGGTGTCTTTCAGTCTAACACATATCTACCTGCTGATCCTTCAGATACAAAGTGTCTTTACATCCCAAATGTTATCAATGCTTCCCCGCACCCCCCAACTGAAGTTCTTATTTCAAAGAATACACTGAAAGTTTAGAGGAGGAAATAAAAAAGGAGAAAGGAAAATCAAGCCACTTTCCCCCAGAGCAGTATATAAAACTGCAGAAGTTTTCTCCTGTGTTGAAATTAGCATGCTTTTGTAATGAATAACATCTCAGTGAAAGTAAATTAACACAATCCGCCAGGTAGAGAACTAAAAATAGGACTTTTAACAGCTATCTTCTAAAACGTCCTTCTGTTACTAAAAAGGCTGCTTTATCAGTTCCAACCGTTATGATGGGATTTAACTTTTAATCAATTCCAACTTTTATATTTAAAAAACTTACTGCAAGAAAAAATTAGCTATCCCATGGCTCATGAAATTCTAGGACAGGAGCAAGATTAATTCCTCTTGTTTAAGACAGACAATAGACCACATTAGTTAAATAGATTTTGTTTTACTTCATTCATTGAGACACCTGCAATTGCTAACAAAAATTCCCAGTGTATGCTTTGCTTGCTAATTTGGGGAAACTTCGTTTTGTATTTTTCCCATTCAAATTGATTTATCAAAACAAGCTGAAATTTTTAAAATTATCCAATAGAAGGGACATGATTTAAAACATCCTAGAGAAATGATGTTATCAGTAATTTACAATTTAAAAAAACTCAGCCACAAAAAATGTCAAAGCTAAAAACAAGAGTTTTACTATGACTCGGTGCTTTATACCCTTCTGAAAGAAGTTATATTTTAATATGATGTAAAGGCAACATTGAAAGTTTTTCTTTAAATTAACCACCTAATTTGTCCCTAAAATTACAAAGAATCGAAGTCTTTTACAGGTCAAGTGCAGTAAACTAAAATGTTCTTTCAGCACAAAGCAGCACTAGAAAAAGTAACAGTTAAAGACGGAGTTGACTAGTTTTGCAGTGGCTGCTCCATCAATAACAGACATCAGCAGACGGTATCCATTCCAGAGCACAGACACAACTACAGACTAGATGCGAAGAATGCGTCACACACTTGGCTGATAAATGCTCTTTGTCTTTGTATCTTTCTATTTTGAATGAAGTGGATTTCTTATTAAAGTTTAAATCAGATCACATCAGTTGGCGGTTTAAACAACATGATGAGGTATGAAAGCTCTGAATATCCCTAATGTTCAGCAGGATTTACCAGAGATATAACAGCTTTTCAGGGGAACTTTCAAATAGTTACACTTTGGGGTTATAATGAATTCTAGAAGAGGACAAGATTAAAGAGGTTTAAAAGGATATTCTCTGAAAAAGAAGTGAGCAACTTTTCCTTCAGAATTCATTTTGAACAGCACATCAACAAAAAATCTTCTCTGATAATGTGTCCCAACATTGAGTCAAGATGGCCAACTAGCACCAAGAAATCGTATTGAACTCAGTTGCAGTTCTCTTGGCAATTAAGCTTATTTTTCTCATTCCAGTCCGAGCACAAATGTGGATCACTGAAGACAGTACTGGAAGCGCCATTTGTAGGTAGAGGTTGTAGTCATTAAATGAGCCAGAAGGTAGAAACTTTCTATTTTATGGAAGGGACTTGACTGGGCAGTACTATTAGGAGATGAAATGATTAGGGAACAATGAGGTTATAAGAAAAAGATCACTGCCCTTATTTGGGTTAAACAGGTCTGTCCAGAAGATGGTCACTGAAAATAAGGATGCTACTTATGCGCAGCATGAATACACTAGAATCCAGCTGCAGCTAACTAAGGAAAAAAAATAATCCCTAAGTAACCTTTAGAAGCATATATTATTTGCCAGTCACAGAAGGGAACAGCACCTAAGGTGAACTCCAATTTAATGAGGACCTTGATCAGGACCACAAAGCCTGAAACATTTGTTTTAATGCAGAAACAGCCCTAGTCACACTGGTTAAGTTTGGGAAAATCAGAGGTTTTTTTTTTTTCTTTTCTGTTTTTAACTTTTTTATTGAATTACAGGATACGGTTTTGATCACTAAGGATTCTAAATCTTCATACCAGTATTAGAACTGTATCACTTCCAAATCCTAAGACACGTTAAGACCAAAGAGAAGCAATAGCCATACAAATTAATATGTGCCCCTCTCCTTTCTGCTCTAAGGGAATCTTCAAACCAGTTATCACATTTAAGAGTCAAAGTGTTAATTCTTCAGCATTCCTGACAACTAGAAGCACATTCACTGAAGGCTGAAGGTGAGGGAGCGGATGGTTTACTATCTGTGGAGAATAGCGTCAATAGAGGAAAGAAAACCATCCAATCTCAGTAAGGATTAATGCAAATTTGGCTAGAAAAAGCCACCAGTTAATCCAAGGGTTCACTGTGGAAGAACTCATGAAAAGTACTCTGAAGTACACAACAGGTCTAAACATCTCCCTTGTTGCAAGTAGTTGTGTGAAATTCAAAGTAAAGATTTAGTCTCATCTTTTAATGTCAGTATTTTTTCCCACATTAAAGGGAATGAGGAGTCCTCTTTTTCCCCCACAAAAAAAAAGGGAGCCACGTTAACATGTGTATATTCCCATGACTCTATAATATGTAAGTGCGGATCTCGAAAGCCTAGGGTTTTCCATAACAGAGTGGGCCGTTCTGGTTATTACCCTTTTATTAGAAGGGTATTCCACCACAGAGAGCCAAAGGTTTTCCAGATGTGTGTAAGAGAGCAGGTGCGCAAGGCAAGCAAATGAGCGCAAACAGTATTATGGAAAACATTTGAGAAGTTAGCTCCATGAGGACTGTGGGCTCCACAAGAGGACTTGACTGGGTAGCCTGGTCTGACACAGGGACATGAAAGCAGAGATTGCTTCAAAGCTGGAAACCTTCCATAGGTGCCTCACACTGCTGGAAGATGTACTGCTGCTGGCTGAGGTCAACCTGGGGTGCGATGCTGCTGTCCTCATCCTCGGTCCCAAAGTAATGCTCAATAAGATCAAAGGCCTTCTGGTAGATCTCTTGGTTTTCATGACTCTGTAAGAATTCAATTTTATCCAGGCCTAAAATGAAGAATTTTTAAAAATCTGTTATACACCTGTTAGAAATTTTAATAGAACTGTATTTTGCCATGTTTGTTTTTCTGATGTAAAGGAAGATTCTTTACTTACTTCTCATAAGCATTTTGCAACAACACAGAAAATATTCCTCCAGTTACAACTGAATGGAAGTATTGCAAACTGACATCTTAAACATGTGTACAAGCAACAGCGAGTTCCCAGAAGCAGCAATTTCTGTAACAGTCACATCATCCTATGCCTAAGGCCAGTAGCAGAAGTTTTCCTATTGGACTGTGTCTGTGGTCTAAGTTTACTCTTAGCTCTAGTTCTATCTACCCAGGCTCTGAGCTAACCAATATTATTTCAACAAAGGTGTAACATAAATAAATCAACCAGCCAGAATCAATTTATACTGCTTTAAGGAAGAAGTCCAACCAGAAAAACTAGCCAACACATACTCCCTTTACTAAGTTTAATACATCTGAGCTAGGCTTTCTTTTACCTACAGCTTATAAGCAATCCAATGGCTACAGCAATACTGGAAATAAATGTTAGCAGTGCTCAGGAAAAAAAAAAAAGTACATATACATATTAAAAACCACATATATATACACACACATCCAAAAATTAACAAGATTTATCTTCTATAGCAAAATATCTAGGTAAAGGAACATTTGTCTTTTTATACATTTCAAAATTTCTTACACTAAGCGAGAATATAGTTTTTATAATCAAGCCTTTTAAAAAGTGGTAAACTGTTAAAAGTCATTTTGGAAAACAATTCTGCATTATCTGATAAATCTGAAGATGACTGTGCCCTATGAACCCTAATTCCAATCTTAGGAATAAACAGACCTTAGAGTAGTGGCTTTCAATAGTGGCTATACATGAAAATCACTGAGGGAACATAAAAGTTATAAAGTACAATGGTAAACCAATGATTAAAAGTACAGTTAGAACTGAGATTGGAAGAATGAGGAAACCAAAAGGCAGATAGTGACTCTACTGTTTCTAATGAAACTCTAGAAATCTTTACAGTTAGGAGCACAGGAACTGGGAAATGCAATGCAAAATCAGAACTCTAAAGGAGTGGAATGGGATGTTGTCTATAGTAGATACGGGTGCTCTTGAGGTTCAGATGTACTAGTAAGAATACAGAAGTATCATAATGGTGGGCAGCATCAGGGAATAAAAGATCCTAACAGTCCAATGTAAAAAGGTCTAAACTTAGGATATTTGCTTCTCTTCACATCTACAATGCATCTGTTTTCCAATCCTGCATCCCAAATATTTATAGGAGAAATTTTTTGTATGAGTTTGCTAATGACAGGTGTGAACAGGCAAAAAGCACGGAGAAAAAAGAAAAAAATAATTTCAGGACATCTATTAATCTCGCTTACCATAAGCTTCTTCAATCAAAGCACAGTAAGGATTAATGCCACTGCCGTTCCTTTTGGCTTCTTGTTCTCCAAGCCTCAGGATATTTTCCAAGCCATTTAGGGCAACCTGTACAATCTTAGAGTCCATGACTGTGAGGAGATCACAGAGTGGCTTGATACAGCCCAGTTCTACGAGGTACCTAAATTGATAGAACAATTCACACAAAGCTTTTAATTTCATAAAACTTCAGTGAAATTGGTGGAAGGGAAATCCTCAAATTCATTGAAGAAATAAAAGTAGGCACTCATTCAACCATACAACCTACACCTTGTCCAAAAAAGCCCAAGAGACACTGATAGCAAATAAACACAAAAAGACACCCAGCATGTGTCACTGGGAGGCTGCAAATCAAAACCAATGACCCCACACCTGTTAAAATGGATAAAATCCAAAACACTGACAACACCGCATGCTGACAAGGATGTGCAGAAACAACATCCTTTTTATTTTGCTTGAGACGACATCTCATTTTTTGCTGGTAGGAACAGAAAATAAGATAACCACAGTGAAAAACACCTTGGCAGTTTTTTTTTTTCTTTAAGAAAGCTTTTCATATGACCCAGCAATCACACTCCCCAGACATTTACCCAATTGCGATGAAAATTTATGTCCACACAAAAACCTGTACAAGTATATCTATAGGAGTTTTATTCGTAACTCAGGTGAATGAATAAACTATAGTGTATCCAGACAATGGAATACTGTTCTTTTAAAATCACAAAGTTGTGTCCAACTCTTTTGCAACTCCAAGGACTATAGCCCACCAGGCTCCTCTGGCCATGGGATTTCCCAGGCAAGAATACTGGAGTTGGTTGCCATTTCCTTCTCCAGGGGATCTTTCCCACCTAGGGATCAAACCCATGTCTCCTACATTGGCAGGTGGATTCTTTACCACTGAGCCACCAGGGATTCAGTGATAAAAATAAAATGAGCTATCAAGCTATGAAAAGATGTGAAGGGACCTTAAATGCATATTGCTAAATGAAAGAAACTAGTCTGGAAAGACTCCATACTGTATGATTCTAAATACATAACATTCTGAAAAGTATAAAACTTTTATAAAGGCAACAGAAAAGAATAGTGGTTGCCAGGGATTTGAGAGAGGGGGGTAAGGGTGTAGTGATGAACAGGTGAAGAAGAGGGGAATTTTAGAGCAGTGAATGATACAACAATGGTGGAAACATTCATCAAAATCTGTAACTATACAACACAAATAATAATCCTCAATATAGAATATGAATTTAAGCTAATAATGTATCAGTACTGGTTCTACTGTAACAAATGTAACCATACTAAAGTAAGATTTTACTAGAAGAAATTTACAAAGACTACAGGAACTTTTATTATCATCTCAATTTTTCTCTTCTTTTAAAAGCCTTAATTTTTTAAAGTTTTATATCATATTTAGCTTTATTATTTACTATGGAATGAATTTAACAGTATCGTGCATAATTTTATTTAAATATTTACTGATAATTTAGATGATATGTCCTTCGACAGGCTAGGTCACTCAAATACAGACTACATAGGCCTAAGGCCATTTCTGACCATTTCCCCTTCCTTTACAGCACAGTTTTTAGTCACTAAAACCTGTTAACCATTCCTTCAACATATCTATATAATTCTCAGTTTCTCTTAAAAAAAAAAAAGCCTCCTTAGATTATATTAGTTGCTGCAAATTTGAAAATCATAGAAAAACATAAAGAAAAATAAAAAGTATCCAGAGATAACCACTATTATATCCCACTGTGCTACATATAAGCAGGATGACTTTGGACAAGTTATCTGATCTGTGTCTCAGTTTCCTCAAGTAGAGAAATCTGGCAACCACATTAAGTCTGTCATTAAAAGCCACCAAAATTTTAAAAGTAGTTAATTAAACAGATGCTTACATGTCTGCACTTAAAACTCCACTGGCCTATACAGGCAACATCAATTGGATATTTCAGAGACTTGTTCAGAATCTCCAAATTGTCCTCAAGCTTGATCCTGGTCTATGTCTGATGTGATCTCCTCTCCCCACTAGAAATCTTGGTTCAGTGACCTCTAATCCTTATATTTTCTTTTAAAACCTCATTACTTTTGTAATACTGTTTGGTTGTAAAATCTTTTATTATGAAAACCAGTGTACTGAAAACTTGATTCAGGATTAAAAACAAATTTTAAATTGTAAGAAGCTTCTAGAACTTGTATATAATTAAATGAATAAATATTGACTAAAACTATTTTTAAAACTACCAAAAAATGTGCTAATAAGTAAATTCAGAGTTTTGAAGATGTGAGTAGATTTTATCTGCACAAACATGGTATTAGTATTTCTTGTATTCCAGCACAGTTCATTAAATGAGCTCTGGGTTCCAAATTCTAGCCATTTAAATTATACCTCCTTATAAGATCAGAGGAATTTAAGGTGCTATTTTCTGCTGCAATCATTCATCTTTGGAGACTTAAAGACTACCATAGTGGTGTTTCACTATTGACACAAGTTTCTCCAAACAAAGTAACCTTCATCAAAACAGAGGACCAGGGGAGCTGGGCTGGTAGGAGACGGAAAATCATACCACTTTGAGAAAAGCATGGTTCAAGTCTGGAACTGGCTCCAATGAATGGTGTATTTCAAACACTTGGATAAAGCAATCAGTGATAAAGCAATCACTGATGCTATGTGGCTTTGTGTCAGGAAAGGCTTTCATTAAGAAAATTTCTGATGAGCAACAAACTCACCGTGTCTTAAACCATCTCTCTGCATGAGACAAGTGCTCGGGCCTGGTGCACTGGGAAGACCCAGAGGGATGGGGTGGAGAGGGAGGTGGGAGGGGGGACCGGGATGGGGAATACATGTAAATCCATGGCTAATTCATTTCAATGTATGACAAAAACCACTGCAATGTTGTAAAGTAATTAGCCTCCAACTAATAAAAATAAATGGAAAAAAAAAAACCATCTCTCTTAAGACAGGATTTTGCTTCTTCTGTGTCCTAATTTTTATCAACAGCGTCACTTTTTCCTTTAGTCTTTAGCTCTTTCCTTTCCTTTTCAATCTGTTACCAAATCCTATAGATCTCTTTCCAATATTTAGACCCGTACCTCACTGCTACAGCTATTACATATATATTTTACTCACACAGCATGTGGGATCTTTAGTTTCCACTAGGGATCAAACCTATATGCCCTGCAGTGGAAGCAGTGAAGTCTTGAGATTGATTTGCCTTTTCCAATAACATCTACTGTGCACATTTCTTCATGATATTCTCTCCTCTAAAACTGCCAAATCTCTACTCAAATGGCAAGTTTCATCTCTTTTATGAAACTTTAATTCCAGGCAACATTATTTATACTTCAGTTTTAAGAACTGTAGTATGTATTAGCATTTGATTATAGTTAACCTAAAATTCTGAGTACTTCCCAAGTTATTCATAACTGGTTCTTGCATCTAAATCTTGTCTTCTCAACAAGAATAAGCAAAAGCCACATAGATGTCTTTTATCAGTAATAAAGTTATTTTATTTTCTATAATTTAGACTGTAATATTTTCATAATACTCTTTCGATATAACTCTTTAATTAAGAAAAAATGGCTAGGAGATTGATAATTAACTTCATTATTACAAATAGCTATGCTGAACTTTAAAAAGGGATAGGAGCCATTCCATTTCTAACAGAGCAAAACACCCTGAATAGTTCCTGATGGATACCATAGTATTTTTTAAATGTCTTTAAAATATACACATGTACAGTTTCATTATGTCAATTAAGAAAACATACTGATATAAAATATAGTGACAATAATTACAAATCTGAATCTGAACATAAAACTTGACTATCAACTGTTCTGTGTGCATGCGTGTTAAGTTGCTTCTTAACAACTCTGTGCAACCTCATGACTGTAGCCTACCAGGCTCCTCTGTCCATGGGATTCTCCAAGCAAGAACACTGGAGTGGGTTGCCAGGCCCTCCTTCAGGGGATCTTCCCAACCCAGCGTTGAACCCGCGTCTCTTACATCTCCTGCACTGGCAGCCAGGTTCTTTATCACGAGAGCCACCTGGGAAGCCCCATCAACTGTTCTAATAACTCCTATATTACTTCATATTACTGCCATCTGGTGGTGACATATTTAAAAATCATAGTACTCCAAACCAGAATTTTGAAGATTAAAAAACTCAATCTCATATAAATACGTTCTGAAGACCACCTGAAGTCCTCCTTGACTAACCTATCCATGATGAACTCTACTGAAATAGCTACTGCATGTGTTAATCTATTTAAATTGTATTATTTCAGGTATATACCTCTGATTTTCTGTAATTGATCAATTTCTGAAATCTTAGGACTACTTTACCTTCTCATGTTGAAATTCCAAACACAGCACTAAAAGTCAGCATTGGCTGAGCACCTACATTTAATCCACAAGGAAACAATATCAGAAGTATCTGTGTTTCCCCCATGTTACATATGTAGAAAAGGTGAATGGTGACACTCATTGGTGACCATCTTCTCATTTGAATTCCCCAAAGTACGTTAAGGCAGGATATATCCATAATCAAGCTTTGATTATATGATATTCTTTTGAGGAATTGATCCCTATCCATATTTATGCATTCTCTAGCCATTAAGGTTGTAAATTGCTGCTCTAGGAGCCATTTAAGTCTCAATCTAATACAAATCTCTCCCTTTACTAAATAATAGTACTTTAGGAGACTTGCCTCTACTGAATTTGGTACTTTCATACTTCTCTTTCAAGGCTGTGCATTTCTATTATTAAGACATCTAAACAAGAAATAGCAAGTTAGCTATTAAAGTTAGACTCTTAAGAATTCTACAAGTAACCTACTGGACTACCCACAATGTTTTTGATCAGACAGCTTTCAGAGGAGGCTCAAGTCACCCCATTAAGTATTTCAATGGCCTCAAACCTCAACTATGCCTTTCTTCTCATGTCCCAGAATTATCTTTAGCGATAAAGAATGGGCAAAATACTAAGAAATCAAATATATGCGAGTCTAATTATGAAAATAATAACAATCTTTCAAGAGGCCAGAGTTGAGCATTCTTAACTGGGAGACAGAATGATTTTCTTTACAAGGCACTACTTGGCTAGTACTTACTTGATCTGTTCAGCTGATCCTCCAGAAGTTGCATTTGTGATGGCCCAAGCAGCTTCTTTCCTTGTCCGAAACTCAGCAGTTTGTAATATACTAATAAGGGCTGGGAAAATGTTGGCATCTATCACAGTCTGAAATTAAAGAAAACAAAATTACAGGAGTTGTAAAAATGTTCATGATGCTACTTATAACTTTTCAGCTAGCTTTACTAACTTCCCCTGTTAAAGATCCACCAGGAGTTAACTCCTCATTATCCCAAACTTTTTGGCTACACTTAGTAACACTAACATCGTTCCTAGAGTTTGTGGCCTTGTAATCGCCTAGTTTTCTATTCTACATGGGTTCTTTTATTGTTCTCTCTTATTCCATTCACAGTAACAAATTTTAAAGGTTCAATTCTCTGTTCCTCAGCCATTCTCCTTTCTTTCATAGCATCCACTCTCACATGTGTGTTCTACAGCTCCAGTCCCCATTTCTCACTGGAATTCCAGTCCAAGGTGGCTGAGAGCTTAGTTTACATCTGCTATCCACCTTAAACATATCATCTGCTCTATCAGGTCTTTTTTCAAACCTCTCTAGTTCACAAAGGCTGTTTTGTATTTATTCATTCTAAATTCAATCAGTCACCAAGTCTCCCTTACATTCTCAATTCAGAACATCCTAAGTCCATCTTTTCCTTTAGCACTGCCACTATTTCACTCCAAGCCACAACCTCCCACCCAGATTACCAGAATAGCCTTTAGTAGACTTTTATTCAGTACTTTGAGTACTTTTATTCAGTCCCTCTCATATACTAAAGCAGTCTTCCTCAAATTGCTTTCATGTTTCTCCTCAGTTCAAGAACCTAAAATGGGTTATCATTTCCTGTATCAAAAAACTACACAACTGATGGTAGCAGACAATAAACTACAGCTGAAAACATGCTATAAATTGCCATAGCTATAAATCCCAGTCCCTGACAGCCTTCTGGGGGGTGACTAACAATGTTTTCCTGGTCAAGAACTCTATTATACCACTGAAGGAAATCAGTAAAGTTTCGTGGAAAGATGCTTTATCTTGGTTCTGTCATTTACTGAAGGTATCTGTGAGCAAATCATTTTATTTCTCTGAGCCTCAGTTTCATCTTTAATCAAGAATGTTGGATTAGATGACCTCTACAATTCTACTCAGCTCAAAGTCTATAGTATATCTGTTCTACTTTGTTTTTTCAGCCTATCTCATGGTCTATCCTGAAACATCTGGCCCACTACTTGGTCTCTCAGTTGGGTCACTCTCCCACTAAAACAAGAACAAAAATCAAGGGCAGATAACCATTTATAGAAAACTAGGTCCCCAAAGATTCGTGAAAAACTGAAGCAATCTAACACGAATCTATTAAAAAATAAATATTAAAAAATAAATATAAGTCTAAAAAGACTTAACCTCTATAATGCAATAAAAAAAGTAAGTAGCAGACTAAATAAGACGGCATTGGAAATCAGTGGTCTCCAAGGCAATAATGGAAAGAAAAAAAAAGTACACACACACACACACTTTAAATGCTGACTGAAAAAACCCTTAAATAATAAACATATAGAATAAAGATGGGTGGTATGAGACTACCTGGATCTGTGCCCTATTTCCAGCTGTGATATTAGATATTGTCCAACACGCCTCCTTTTTGATAGACTCCTTTGGGCTACTCAGCAAATGCAACAAACTCTGCAGAGCTGAGCAATTCAAAATTACCTAAAGGAAAAGTTTGAAAAGGTTACTTACTGTATTGATCCAAACAGAAGTAAATCTCTAACTCACATACTTTATTTTAGGAAAATACAGGCAAAAAAAAAAAAAAAAATCTCTCCTTGAAATTTTAGACTTAATTTTACACATGTGAAAAAGTATTCACTGCTAAAAAGAATTCATTTCTAAGATTATCAAAGCAATTTCATTATATATACTCACAACTGCTAAACATAATATATAGCACAATGTGCCTTATTCACTTTACTATGCCTGTAGCATATTAAAATATCTTTCCAGTAAGTGGCCAGAAATTAGTTAAGTTGTCTCAGATTTTTAAGTCTTCTGATGACTCTCTACCTGGTAGTCAACAAATCAATATATACTTAGTTAAGAATACCAGGTGCTTTACAGGATACAAGCATTGAAAATACATGCCCCCAGCTATCAAACAGCTTACAAAGCTGAAGAAAGTAAGAAAAATGTAAGTGAACAAGGAAATCTACTCTACTAGAAACTAAAATCATAAAGTTATAAAGTTAAAATAATATATGACAGGCTCAAGAATCAATCATTAAAGAAGAGAAAAGTGAAAGTCACTCAGCCCTGTCCAACTCTTTGCGACGCCTTGGACTATACACTGCATGGAATTCTCTAGGATAGAATACTGAAGTAGGTAGGTAGCCTTTCCCTTCTCCAGGGGATCTTCCCAACCCAGAGATTGAACCCACATTTCCCACACTGTAGGTAGATTCTTTACCAGTTGAGCCACATGGGAAGCCTCTAAAGAAGAGAATAGCATATCTAGTCTAGAAACAAATGCAAGTATTTATAAAGAATTAAGTATATATACTTTTTTCTTCAAGAAAGGATTAACTGAGGTAGTCTTATTTAATAGATGGTTCTAGTGAAGAACTAAAGAACCTCTTGATAAAGATCAAAGAGAAGAGTGAAAAAACAGGTTTCAAACTCAACATTAAAAAAACTAAGATTATGCATCTGGTCCTATTACTTCATGGTAAATAGATGGGGATAATGTGGAAACTGTCAGATTTCATTTTCTTGGGTTCCAAAATCAATGTGGATGGTGACTGCAGCCAAAAAATTAAAAGACACTTACTCCTTGGAAGAAGAGCTATGACAAACCTAGACAACATATTTAAAACCAGAGATATCACTTTGCTGACAAAGGTCCAGATAGTCAAAACCATAGTTTTTCCAGTAGTTATGAAGGAATGTGAGAGTTGGACCATAAAGAAGGCTAAGCGCCAAAGAACTGACACTTTGAAACTGTGGTGCTGGAGAAGACCTGAGAGTCCCTTGGACTGCAAAAAGATCAAACCAGTCAATCCTAAAGGAAATCAATCCTGAATATTCACTGGAAAGTCTGATGCTGAAGGTGAAGCTCCAATACTTTGGTCACGTGATGCCAAGAGCTGACTCACTGGAAAAGACTCTGATGCTAGGAAAGATTGAGGGCAAGAGGAGAAGAGGGTAAAAGAGGATGAGATGGTTGGATGGCAATACTGACTCAATAGACATGAGTTTGAGCAAACTCAGGGAGATAGTAAAGCACAGAAAGCCTGGTGTGCTGCAATTCATGGGGTTGCAAAGAGTTGGACAGGACTTAAGTGACAGACTGAACAACAAGGACAACTAGAATAAGGGGTAACTAGTTGAAAAAAAATTTTAAATCAATTCTTAACCCCAAACAGTTACTAAAATAAATTTGCAATCTATTTAAACAGTAAATATAAAAAAGAAACCATAAAGCAGAAGAAAATATTAATATAAATTAACCAGTTAACAGCTGGTTTGGAGGACAGTGAAGGACTTTCCAAGCATTAAAAACAGTAGAAGAAATTATTGGGGAAAAATTAAAATTTTACCAAATAGAAATTTTTGTATGTCAAGAAATTCATGAAAATTAAAATGCACAGCAATGTGTAAAAGCATTTGCAACAGAAAAGGTTGCTGTCTTTAGTATGTAAACTGATAAGAGAAACTACAATTTTAATAGCAAATTACCTCACAAAGAAATGAAAATTAAAATGAAGCCAATTTTGCCTATTAATTCAGAAAGTAACAAAACTTGTAGTTTAACAAGTACAGTCATTCCAAGTAACAGTATAAAAAAGTCACAAAGCAATTTGTTAAATGCTGAAGATGTGGTGTGGAAAATAAGCATGTCAGAAGTTAAAGAATTACTTGAGAAAGAGTAATAAGAAAAAAAAAAAAGACTTCATGGGACAGGGTGGGAGGAAACACTCTGAAACTCAGATAGGATTTTATAAGCAAAGAAGAGGGAGGACAAAGCATATGGAAAGATTAGAAAATAAAAAATGCTGATAAGCTATCACAAAGTACTGAATTAAGAAAACATCAGTGAAACTATTAAGGAAAGGTTCTGTACCCCCAAAATTATCAGGAGGCTAGAAAGAAGAATGAAACTAAAATACTGCAGTACAAATTCCTAAGTCTTTCAAGGTTCTTTATCCCATAGGCACTAAAGCTCAATGTTTCTAGAAGGAAAATAATGTGAACAGTTATTTTAGAGAAGATTAAGCAGTTAATAGGAAGAATACACCGAGAGGGGTAAATGCCTGGGAGAGCAGGAGGATAAATAAGGTAGGTACAGCAACAACCACTGTACGTGAGAAAACAGAGCCCGAACTAAGGTAATCAGGTGTGGACCTAGAAACAATAAAGGGACTTGCCTGGTGGCGCAGTGGGTAAGATTCCGCCTGGCAATAATGCAGGGGATATGAGTTTGATTCCTGGTTGGGAAGATTCCATATGCCACAAAGGCTGTGCACAACTACTGAGCCCAGGCTCTAGGGTCTGCATGCTGCAACCACTTAAGCCTGCATGTTCGAGGGCCCGTGAGCCGCAAGCTACTGAGCCTGTATGTCACAACTACTGAATCCTGAACACCTAGAGCCCGTGCTCCACACAAGAGAAACCACTGCAATGAGAAGCCCTCACACCACAATGAAGAACAGCCCCTGTGTGCTGCAACTAGGGAAAGACCACACAAAGCAACAACGTCCAGCACAGCCAAAATTCAATAAAAACGCTAAGAATCCGTAAGACCTGCTGACTTGCTATCAAAAAAAAGTATGAGAGAAAGAGATACCAAACATGACTGCCAAGTTTCAAGAGTGGGTTAATAAATCGTACCATTAATTGAAGTGGGGAAAAATCAAAACTTGGAACTCACTTCGTGGGGGAGAAGATAAAGTGAGACAGGTACTAGAGACATGTTATTGGAACTTGAGAGAGATCAGAACTATATATAGATTCAGAACTTCATTTATTAGGTAAGTATTTTCTGAGTCTCTATACATTGTGCCTGGGACAATTATAAAAGCACAAAAGTGGACAAGATTGACACAGTTTCACCTCTATAAGCTTACAATCTAGCAGATAGCTATCATACAATGGGAAGTGCTATGATGGATGAAACAAAGGAGGGAGCACCTAATTTAAGAGTTAGCTTCTCAGAGAAAATCAATAGCAAGACTTGAAAAATGACAAGACATTAGTGGCAGAGTATGAGTTTGTGGGAGGGACTGGTCAGAGCAGAGATGGGGGATGGAGACATATATTCCATGCTGAGGGAAGCAAGCTCTGTGTAAAATCTCAGAACTTGGGTATATCACAGCTATTACATAGGAATAAACAAGGCAAAAGCACAGAGCATGGCATGGGAAGGGGTAGACAAACTTTTTTTCAATAGCAAATACACCGATACGGTTTTAAGATTCAGAAAATAAAAAGGACTATATAAGTTTTAAGCTTCCTTTCCATTCCTATACCCCAGTTACCCAGAGACAACCAACGTTATTAACTTCATGTGTGTGCTTCCTCAGAAATTTTATGCAATTACAAACACACACATATTGTTTCTTTCTCCTCTCCTCTCCACCACTCTTACACAAATAGTAATGTATGCTACACAATAATCTGTGCCTTGTTTTCCTTTTTAAACAACAGAACCTGAAAAACATTCCGTATATTAAAACATGCTTAACAGGTTCTTCATTCTGTTGCACAGCATTTCATTATACAGGTGCCAGACTTTAAAGGATCTTAGAACACTATCCAACAACAATCGGGGGCTATAAAAACATTTTAAGAGAATGACATGATCAAATTTGCACGTAACAAGCATCCTTCTGGTAACATGGGAACAGTACAGTACAAAATGTGTGAACTAAGCACTGCAAGGAATAAGCAGAGATGACCATCATTAGTGACTGATAAGAAAGATAGAAGAAAGGCAGTAATCAAACTAACGTCCAGTTTTTTGGCTTGGGCAACCGCTGGGGTCATTCACCAAGACAGGAATGTAAATAAGCAAAGGGCCAGATATACCAGGAAAAACAACAGTTTCTCTGTGGACAGAATAATTTTAAAGTAAACATTAAGAGCTGGAAGACATCTGAGAACAAAGTTTCCTTAATTTTAGAGAAAAGAAAAATGAAGACACTAAATGTCTTGCTGAAAGTCAGAGCTGGTTAAGAAAGAGCTAAAGCTGAAACCTAATCCCCTACAGAGGATAATCCCATAGAGAGAAATGAACAGGTAAAGGAGCTTGCTAAAGAAAAATAAATGGTCAGTGAGGCAGGAGACCCAAAATACTTCAACAACACAGAAGCCTAGGAAGATAATTTTAAAGATGATGCCAAGGCATCTGAGGGATCAAGAATAAAAACAGCTAGAAGAATCCACCGTGAGTGATGTATCTTGATATAAAAGTTTAATGGAATAGAGGATAACATTAAGAACTAGGAGTGAAGATCCTCCTCACTCAGGAAACTTGCCATTTACAAAATGGAGGAAGCTACCAGGGAAGATGACATGAAGCTGACAGAAAGGATGCTACTGGAAACTTCTGATGCTCACAGGAATCCCTTCAAGTAGAAGTAGTGAGAAATAAATCTAACCAAAAGGATAAGTTGCAGTAGTGTGAGTGTGTTTGTGTGTGTCCAGCAGCTCAGTTGTATCAGATTCTCTGTGATCCCAAGGAACCCACCAGGCTCCTCAGGAACCCAAGCAGTAGATCAAGACAGAGATACAGAGAGTGAAGGTATTGAAAGTAGCTACCAAAGCTAACATTTAACAAACATCAATGAAACAATGTATCAATTCTCCCCAATAATATGGAGTTAAATACTATAATGGAAACATACTGGTGGTGGGAGGGTGGGGGTGTCAATGTGCTATTTTGGAAGGAAAAAAAAGTTACCATTTATTCATACCTGTGTCTGAATATCATCTCCTGTGACAATGTTTCCAACAGCCCGCAAAGCAGGAGAAACCACTTTATAATCATTATGCCTGCAACCATAAAAAGAAAAGATGTATTATATCCAACAGTAACATCTGTAATTTCCTCTCCTTAGAGCCAAAACCCAAAAGATATGTGATAGTATCTTGGACCAGAAAGGTACAAGGAACCCTACCAGGATGAGGAAATGTTTTTGGTGTACCCAAGAAGGACTGTTTTTCCATTTAATATTTTTGGATAAAAGCTACAAATCTGTTCTAAAAACCTTTCCCAAGTATTTCATCACCTAGAGTCCAAGTTTTTCCTCTCATTCTTTAAAACAGGTTTCATTTACTCTTTACTTGGTTTCCATGGTTGCTGAGATAATAGAGAGCAACAGTAATACTTACATAGCACTTTTAAAGTTTTACAAATCATTTCATTTTCACAGAAATAAAAACATGTCAACAGCTGAACTACCTTGAAAATGAGTCAGGCTCCATACTTCAAATACTAAACTCCTTCTACTAAACTTCAGCTAACTTAGTGGTCTGAAAACCCCCTCTAAAATCTTCTACATATCTGAAGACAGATATTAAGTTTTGAGTTCATGCTAAATAAGTTAATATCCTTTAACTTTCCTTAAATATCTTATTTTCTCTCCCATTTAATGAGATTGATCACTCTTCTCAAAACTATGCCAGTTTCTTCACATTTAAGATCTGATGACCAAAAAGAAATGTTAAAATATATAGTAAAAGTCATTAAAGAGTACAAAAGACTACTTCCGAGATTCTGAATGCTGTACTTCTGGCTCCTCCAGCATCACATTGCTTTTCATTCACAAAAGCATTATGCTACTGATCTGTACCCAGTCTGTGGCCAGCTATCATCACAGAGTTTTATATTCTATATATTATATTATCTAACCCATTCCATGTGTCATCTTTGGAACAATGTTTCCTTCCATCTACTTTATACTTACTCCAATAAATTTCACATGGCTTGTAATTACACTATTTCCCCATTACGTTATCACTCTAATTTTTTCTTCAATAGTATTTTCTAAAAATTTGATTAATACAGTCTCTAATTAGTTATGCCATCAGTAAATCTTCCACTTCATAAATGAAAGGGATCCAAAGATATATAGCAAATGAAATTCAAAGTCTGACACCAGTCTATGAGCTTTAAAGAGCTTAGACTAACTGAGCCTAGACTACATGAGACAAAAGATAAGTTTGCTATCCAGTGGTTTGTCTCAGAATATTAAGTATGAGCTAGAACTAAATAGATCAGAGTTTTCCAAATGTTTTTGCTGAAGGGCTGCTCACAGAGGAAGCATAAGAGACTCTTTATAACCCTCAAAACAAAAAAACAAACAGATTTAATGTGAATATAAAAAGTAACAAAGGACAGTAGCCCAAAGCACAATGAATCAGTATAATACATTAATATTTGAGTATCAGCAACTAGAAAACTAGTATGATAGACAAAAGAACACACACACTTTCTTAAAGATATCTTACATCAACAGCTCCACAAGTCTCCTACATACTCCTGCATCAATGACTGCTTGAATTTTATCATTGGGTCCATCTGACAGATATGAGAGGGCCCAGCAGGCATCAGCCAGTACATCAGTGTCACTGACAAACAGCAACCAGGAAAGCACATTTAGACAAGGGGAAACCTGTAAAGGAAAGGTGACATGATTATGAAATTCAATAAAATAAAAGCAAGTGAGGAGTGGGGATCCAGAAAGCAACCAGGCACACACCTGGTGACTTCTGGGGTGATTAATACTTCTAGAGATGGAGTAATAAGTGGCCAAATGACATTTCCACCTTGCAGTTTACTTTGACAATACTCAGAGCCCAAGGAAAACATTTCAAAGAGCGAAGTTTAATATATACCAATTTTCAGGGTGGGATTCCTTGTCAAAACACTCTCTGTGAATCACAGATAAAGCAATTTTCCCAAGTGCTAAAGCTAGGAAATTCTACATTTTAGATACTTTGTTATGAACAAAAAATGCCACATTTTAAGGTTAGTTCAGAGCTTTCTACAGGCAGTGAGACTTATTCCAAATTCAAACAAAAATAAAGACCTAGTTTTCTAGAAACAAAATTCTAACATTTTAGTTTATAAAAAATCATTCTCTTTCTATTCACATTAACACTAGTTGCTACACTCTTTTAACTGTACTTTTTCTGCCAAGTTCCCACATAATCCTTACCTTTGCAAATTCTGGAGGTGGACTTTTCCCTCTACAGAGATTAGACAAAGCCCATACTGCATTCCGGGTCATAGTCAGGCGGTTCTGCTTTGAAAATAACCTATAAGCATAGTGATGCAACTGGTAAATGATATAATGGGCATCAATTCTCTGATAGCATATGATAAATATTTAACCACTTAATGCTATTGATAGACAGATGTCTTCAAATAGCTCTTCTCCAGAACAATAAAGTTTAATTCTAATACAAAGAGTTCAGATTTTTGGCACTCCTTTTTACACACCTGAATAAGAGAGTGCCCAAAGAAATGAGCTGAACAAGTTAGTAAGAAAATATTTATAATGAAAAGCAACACTAGGAAATCCAAAATGATTTCCAAAGATGCACTCATTTCTGAGGAACTTCCCATATTTTCAATACTCACAAAAAATAAAGAAACTTACTGCAGAAGAGGGGGAAGAATATTGCAGTCTAAGACATAGTCCCTGCACATGGTACTATCTCCAGCAATGTTGCCAAGAGCCCAGACTGCCTGTGAAAAAATTATTCATTAATGACAGGCTGCAGAGTCTAATGTTCTCATATTTCTTTCAAAAAAGATGCCAACATACTATAAAAACTCTTTACAAAATAATACAGTAGCTAATCAACATATTGTACATGGACATTAACTATTAACACCACTAAGCTCACTCATCAGGGAGTCAAATGAAACTGTTATGGGACTGATAGAAGATCAGTAATATTAAAAATATACATGCGAATATACTCATGGTAGTGAAGTCATTAAAAAGAGGTACCAGTTCTTATATATATTCTTTACCTTAGGGGGTCCTATCCTTAAGTAACATTCCATGCAGCCCTTGGAACATAGCAGAGATCCAAATGGTTTACTCAGCTTATTTAAAATGTATTTTAAGCTTGCTTACAAAAGAAAACAGTGAGCCAAGAAATTAAGAGCAATAAAAATGCAGAAAACTTGACTCAATTTTGGGAGGTGGATATAATAGCAATCGACTAATCTTTCATGGGTACACACATGTTAGAACTTACAAATTATACACTTTAACCATATGCAGTTTACTGTACGTTTATTATACCTTAATAAAGTTGTAGAATAAAATTGTACTCATTTAATTTGTATTTATGAGTTTGACAAAGTTTGTGATAATTAAAAACGCATTTTCTCTAAGTGATTTTCTGCACAAAAGTGACACAGACTTGCTACTTCAATCTACACCAGAGCATCACCAAAAACAAACTGCTCACATGTCTACAATGGGCATGTGTAAGACTTGAGGAACTTCAGGGCTGGAGGGAAAAACAGTTTTATGTTTCTAGGAGAAATTCTGCCTATATTCACTATGAAACTTCCTATTTAGGTTAAGTTTAGATTTCTGGAACACTCCATGTGAGAACCATGAACTGTCATATCCAAGTAGTAAAACTAAGACTCTTAAATATAAGACTCAGGGAAAAACTGTATTCTTTAACCTGCTTTCATCTTTTACCTGTTCCTGGACATCTTCAAACTCTGAGCTGAGCAATTCTATGAAGATAGGCACAGCTCCTGCCTGAATCACAATCCGGGTCTGAAGAGAATTTCCTGAAGCAATATTTGTCAGTACCCAAGCTGATTCAAACTATAAAGATAAAAATAATTTCATTATCTTAGTAGAATTTAATAGGTTGTTTACTTACAACAAGGTTTTCTTTAAAAAAAAAAAAACCTGTCTTCTATGCATGAAGAAAGAATCTGAGATCATTATTTGAACATACTCTATCAGGTAAATACTATACTAATTTAATAGAAGACTTCCCAAAGAAATAACCTTCATCAGGAATATTGATCAGGTGTCTAAAATTTCAGATCAAGGTAGAGCTGACATGAGACCATAAGAACAATGAGGGAGTGTTTGGTACCGTACTGTATTTTTCAAAAGGGTTAAGAAAGAACATATGCATTAATTTACTTATTGTACAAGATGTCTCTTGAAGGAATCACAATAAACTGTAAATACTTGCTACTTACATGGAGAGGTATGGGTGAATGGGAAACAAGTACAAGAAGGATAAACACTTTTTAGAGTAAAACCTTTATGTACCTTTTGGCCTTAAACCATGTTTATTATCTAATAAAAAACAAAATTGAATAGTTTCTATAAAATGGGAAAAGTGAAATGGGGAAAGAATATTAGTGTAAAAGGTATAAAATATAGGCAGAGTGAAAAAGGCAGAAGACAATTTAAATGATTAAGGAGACCAAAAGGAGTTAATAGGCATACAACTAACAGAAATGGCAGCTCTATATTCCAATAAATGAGCAGCCTTCAAACCAAGGCACAGAGGTGTGACTTTTTTAAAAAGAGCATTCCTAAAGGTTAATAAACTGGTAAACAGAAGGTATGAAGGAAATTATGGCCAACAAAAAATACAGCACATTATTAATTGTACACATCTCTATGGTACCTTGACTCTTTAGCCCAATAAAATGAAATCCAAGAATGAACTCCTATTTAGAGTTCTTAATTAAACTTTGGCTTTATTTCCTTCTCCTGTTCTGTCTCCTATTTAATATTCTTTAATGAAGCATATATGTGGGGGCAAAAAAATTCAGAGACATGCCACTTGAATGAGAATCTCAATAAAAAAATCATCAAAATAATGGAGCTGTGATTCTTAAGCTTTTGGGTCTACTGAAAGGTAGCTGTCGTATAGAAAAATAAATCAATCACTTGGGGTATGGGGAAATGAAAGAAATGGAAAAGCAATCTGCTTAGCACAGTCCAAAGATACATGAATGAATGACAGTAAATTCATAGAAGACGACACTTAAAGAAGGGGATATTCAAAGAAACCTGTAAGTGTGAAATACAGAAGTGAAATAAAGTGGTCTGATAGACAGTTACGACACTGATATTACAGCAGCAGGGAGGCCAGACTAGGAGCACCACAGTTAAAGGGATTTTTTTTTTTTGCATGATAACTCTTTACTATAATCTCACATGCTAGTAAAGTAATGCTCAAAATTCTCTAAGCCAGGCTTCAGCAATACGTGATCCGTGATGTTCAAGCTGGTTTTAGAAAAGGCAGAGGAACAAGAGATCAAATTGCCAACATCTGCTGGATCATCGAAAAAGCAAGAGAGTTCCAGAAAAACATCTATTTCTGCTTCACTGACTTTGCCAAAGCCTTTGTGGATCCAAAGACTGTGTGGATCACAACAAACTGTGGAAAATTCTGAAAGAGACGGACATACCAGACCACCTGACCTGCCTCTTGAGAAACCTGTATGCAGGTCAGGAAGCAACAGTTAGAACTGGACATGGAACAACAGACTGGTTCCAAAGAGGAAAAGGAGTACGTGAAGGCTGTATATTGTCACCCTGCTTATTCAACTTATATGCAGAGTACATCATGAGAAACGCTGGGCTGGAAGAAGCACAAGCTGGAATCAAGATTGCCAGGAAAAATATCAATAACCTCATTGCAGATGACACCACCCTTATGGCAGAAAGTGAAGAACAAAAGAGCCTCTTGATGAAAGTGAAAGAGGAGAGTGAAAAAGTTGGCTTAAAGCTCAACATTCAGAAAACTAAGACCATGGCATCTGGTCCCATCACTTCATGGCAAACAGATGGGGAAACAAATGGTTGACTTTATTTTTTGGGGCTCCAAAATCACTGCAGATGGTGACTGCAGTCATGAAAATTAAAAGACACTTACTCCTTGGAAGGAAAGTTATGACCAATCTAGACAGCATGTTAAAAAGCAGAGACATTACTTTGTCAACAAAGATCCATCTAATCAAGACTATGGTTTTTCCAGTAGTCATGTATGGATGTGAGAGTTGGACTGTAAAGAAAGCCGAGTTCCGAAGAATTGATGCTTTTGAGCTGTGGTGTTGGAGAAGACTCTTGAGAGCCCCTTGGACTGCAAGGAGATCCAACCAGTCCATCCTAAAGGAGATCAGTCCTGGGTGTTCATTGGAAGGACTGATGTTGAAGCTGAAACTCCAATACTTCAGCCAACTGATGCGAAGAGCTGACTCATTTGAAAAGACCCTGATGCTGGGAAAGACTGAGGGCAGGAGAAGAAGGGGACGACAGAGGATGAGATGATAGGATGGCATCACCAACACAACAGACATGGGTTTGGGTGGACTCCAGGAGTTGGTGATGGACAGGGAGGCCTGGCATGCTGCAGTTCATGGGTCACAAAGAGTCGGACATGACTGAGCGACTGAACTGAACTGATAAGTTCAAAAGACTTTTAAACACTGAATATAACAAAATAACCTCATCTTAAATCACCTCTATAATTAAATTACTACCCAAACCAATGTTCAAGCCCTTTTCAATCTGTCTGAATTGAAACTTGACATTTATACAGGCCTTTATATTTTAAAAGCATTAGTCACATACTCTTAGGTGTTCCTTACAACCACCCAGACAGAGACGCCTAGCTTTTCTAGTTTATGAATGAGGAAACTATCAGCAAAATATCCAATGATCACTAATGCTTTGGGTAATGTAAGTCAAAACTATTAAAACAGATTATAGTCTCCTGATCTAGTAGGCTTATGAACCAAATCAGCTTCCTCTCTGAAACACACCTGTAATAATGACAAGAGCCTTTCAATGGCTTGTAGTTTTAGTATCCAGGGCAAGCAATTTCGATTAATGACATGCCAGATTATTTAGGAAAAGCTAAAAGGAACACAGTTCACTGACAAAGTAGTTTCTTTTGCTTACTAGGAAAATTAACTAGTTTAAGAGAAACATTTGAAGTGAGTACAAAAGCAAACTCTCCTTCAAGAAGGAAGGCTCCACGTTCAACAAAGAGTCATCAGCATCTGAGAACAAGTCAAAAATACGAAAATTTGGTGGAAAAGCAACCTGTAAAAAATGAGTAAAGTCAGCATAGACAGCAATCTATATCAAAGAGAGAAAAGGTTTGCAGTGAGATTTTGATGCAAAAGAAATGGTAACAACAACCTGAGTAGATAAACAATATATTAAAGAATTATAAGGGCTTCCCTGGTGGCTCAGTGGTAAAGAATCTGCCTGCAATGCAGGAGATGAGGGTTCAATCCCTGGCTTGAGAAAATCCCCTGAAGGAGGGCATGGCAACCCACTCCAATATTCTTGCTGGGAAATTCCATGGACAAAGGAGCCTGGCAGGCTACAGTCCATAGGGTCACAGAGAGTCAAGACATGACTGAAGCGGCTGAACACAACACACACACAGAGTTATCAATGAGAAGAAATTAGAATACTGATTGCTCCCAGAATTCAAACTGCTGTTTGATGAGGTTTAGCACCAAAGGTCTCCCAGAGAAAGAATTCTAGATGCCATTGAAGTGAATAAAATGGAGAAGCAAAACAAAATAGAGTGATAACGACTGGTAAAATGGAGAAAAAGTAAATAACAGCCAGAACATGAATGGAAGGAAACTGGAAATTAGGACTTTTCAACAAAAGAACGTACCAGAGTTATGTTTATTACTAAGAAGTACATAATGATTATAAATTGAATTCAAAGAAGAGTCAAAGACTCTCCTAGTGAGAATGGAAATCAGAAAGTAATTTTACCATTACTGGATGGTAATGAATAAGTTACGAATAACCATAACAAGTTATGAATAACCATAACAAGATGGTAATGAATAGAAGGGAGATGAATAACCATAACCAGAGAGCCACTGAAAACCAAATCATATTCATGAATTAATGAGGCATTAAAATAAACACACACACGGAGAAGATTTACTGTGCTGTTTATCTTGTAAAAACTTATCAAGCTCTGCTTGTGTAATTTTCTATACCAATGTGTATATGTGTGACATCTACGTATGTATGTGAGAGACAGAAACAGAGAGAGAGAGAAAGGAAGGGACAGGCTGAGAATTCCCCATGAGTTAAACTCCTATTAAAGTGTTATAAGAACCAACTTTCTTCTTGTGTTTACATGTATTTAGTATGTAAGTATGTTTTTTAAAAACTGGGTGAACTTTGAACTATGTTTCTCTTTCACTGGGTATTACAGTCATTATTTTTTGAGTGGGGTGAATGTTTCAGCCTCAGGTCCCAGACTAGATTCTAACACGAGAGTTGATTCCAAAAACAACTGCATAAAGTTATATAGAAATGGCCAGAAAAGGTAATCTAAGTAAGTAACCATGCAACTCAAAAAAACTCAGCAACATGATGAAATGAAAAAAATTCAAGAAATGGTACCATCAGAAGTAATACCCAAAATAACTATAATCTTTACTCCTCTTTGTTGTTCTAAACTACTATATTCTTAGTGTTCTAAGAATGGCATCATGTGAGGAAACAACCTGTCATGCAGCTGTGACTGCTTACAAATTGTAATTTCACTTATTTTTCACTGTCCAGAAATTTCTAAATAAGCCTACAACTGAAATCTGAAGGGCACACTAAAGATTTGGTATGTTCTCTCTTTCCCTTCTCAATTTCTACCTTTCGGTGCCCAGTTCCTTAAATAAGGAAAATGAGAATCCAAAACTGAAGTACTTCTGACCTCCTATCAAGTTTCCCACTCCAGGTTGAAGTACGCCTGGTTCCCTTTCTCCATTTGGATCAGGACTCTGTTGCTGGCCACTTTGCCGGTTCCACTCTGGTTCCTAGCAAATGCCAGGCTCACCTGGAGAGCAAGTGAAAAGAGAGGCTCACATCAGAAAAATAAACCCAGATATCAAACTCTGGAGAGAACAGTGCCTGAGTCATCTGAGCAACCTTTCAAGATAGGTAGAGGGCTCAATGAAGATGGGAAAAACATAGGAGGATGAAGGCTTACTGCAGTTTATCACATTAAGCTTTTAGTGTCAACAAGAAAGGTAGAAATGGGAAAACTAAACAAATTTAACTCAAATTTACAACTTTAAGAGGAATATCTATTTAATGACTGGAACTAGGAGGCAATTTACTTATATTCTAGCTTTTTTTGTAAGCTTCTATATAAGAAGGTTTGGGAATACATCTCAGCACTGCAAAGGACATTACAAAAATTTTGGACCTGGACTCAAAAATGCAAACAAAGTGGGTCCAGGGAATACACCATGAGGCAGACCAATCTCATGTCAAGGGCTCAAGTATTCTGAGGCCTACATGTTACCAAGCTTGAGAACGCTGTTAGTTAAATGGCGTAGTCTGCTTCCAAAGTCCTAGATTCCATTCATGATCATCTCATTTGAGGGCAAGTGAGTATCTAGGTAGCACTGCCAAAAGCAGGCATTTTTATCACCTTGGTTTGCAACACCCCATTGGTTTGGGATGAGGAAAGCCAGAAAGACAGTGAAGAGACCCTGCACTAGGATTCACAGTTCTTTGTATATGAAGGGATTACATTTGTCCAAGGATTTATTAGTGAGTTAAGTTATCATGACTATATAATATTACTCTCTTTCTGGAAGAGAAATGGTAAACATCTCATTCCAAAAGACACACTATTCAAATTTCTAATATGCAGGTAGGAGTATCAGTGACAACTCACATCCTAGTGCTCTCCAAGGAGACAGAGGAAGGAGTACCCTCCAAACCTCCCAGAGTATACCTAATTATTTGACCACGAAGCCTCTTGGAATATAGTTATTTCCTCCTGCTTTTGGGGTAGTCAAGATTACCCATTAGTCACACTGGAGAAAGAATACTATGTTAAATGTACACAGAAGAAAATCCGAGGATGATGACAGTTTTGTTTTCTCTCTCAGTCTTTGGATTGCTAAGGTGAAAATCATGAGGTGGTCACTTCCAGAGGAATCATTTCTTCATCTTTCAGCTTAATTAACAGTCTGTACAAGGGAAGACTCTGATAATTTTGATACAAGCAAATTTAGAGATTTCTGAAGGCTTTTGTCTTCAGATATGTTAAGATACAAACTCCAGGATTACAAAATCAAAATGATGTAGAATTTACAAGTGTTAGCTAGGAGATGAAATTGTCTGAGAGAATACATTGTGCTCTTTAGGGAGGACTGGAGAGGGTAGGAATGGGGAAAGATCCAATTCTCTGACATATTTCATCTTAGGACTAAATATACCATCTGCCTTTAATGAATGCATTAAGGAACTGGACCTCTTCAACCATCTACTAAAAACTAAGTTCAAGAGTAAATTTAGGATCTCCAAATTATTCTTGCTGTCAGGAATAGGACAGAAACATATTTTCACATGAACAAAATGGTAATTTTCCCTACCTCCCTCTTCCTATAAAGCTTTTTAAATGATAAACTGCAGTAAGGCTCTTCATTTGGTCCCTCTGGTTCTCTTGACAGGTTGCTTAGGGGCTCAGGCTCTAATCTCTGCAGTGTTGGTAGTCTGGATTTCCCTTTTTTCCTGAGAAAAGTCCTCTTTCTTTGCTCTCTAGGTGAACCTGATTATTTTCCAGGTGTATGGTGATCCTGGCCTCAGATGGGGACCAGAATTACAATCCAGAAGGCAGCTAGCAAAACAGAATCTTAATTCAAATGAACTTGGGAATTAGTAAGTGTCAAACTGGAGAAGAAAACTGATGGGACACTGAAGTACTCTACCTTTTCTGGATTTCTTGTTTTTCCTCTGGAAGGAACTCATCACCGCAACAAAGAGTAAAAGAAAGAGAAAGATGGGATGGGAAGAAAGGAGAGAAAATATCAAGACAAAGCATCAAGCTTATGAATTATCAATAGTGCTCTGGACAGTAAGGAACCTGGGGAGAGGAGCTATTACTTATTAAAAACAATACCCCAGTCCTTATTGTAGCCTTAGAGTAAGGCAAAGGTAATACACAGAGGGTGAAAGTTATCTTTATGATTAACTTGTTATTAGCAAGTATCTACTTGGAAAAATAAGCCATTTTGTAATCTGCATGGTACCTAACTGATCTTTATAGTTGCAGAATCTTTCTAAAAGGCTTGAGCCCCTCAGAAAAGATCCTACAAGTGAGAATTTAGGAATCACACAAATTGTTAAAGAATAACACAGAAATTGATTCAGCTGGTTACTACAAGGAAGTCTTAACTACTGAAAAATTACCAGTTTACTTAAGAGCTGACTTTATTCAGAAACAATATAGTATTTTTAAATTTCTAGATAACTCCCAAGATGCGAGTCAGTTCATGGTTCTTTTACTCTAAAAATTATCTAACACCAAAGTTGTAGAATTTTCTCTTGGAATTCCTATACAACAGTATTGACAGAGTAAATTAACACAGAAGAAAGCACAGATTCCCAACAAGGCTACGTCCTTGTCAACTCTTTTGGGATGGACAGGTAAGAGGATTAATTAGAACCAGGTTTGGGAATCAGTGAGTCTCTGATCTAGTCCATGTTACAAAGCCCCGAAAAAGCCAACAAGTATAATCTAAAAATCCTTCAAAACCAAATTTTACAGAGTCCACATTAGGTCCTTAATGGGTCGTCCTCTACTGCAAACAATTCCCTACCAGCTAAGTATGATCCATAGTCATCATAAAATATAATCTTTACATGAGTAAAAATGACAAGAATTTTAAACAGTAAAACCAAGGACCTGGATGTTTACAAAGATATGAAAGCAGCTTGCAATGGGTTATCTAGAACATCACTATCAAAAAATTAATCCTTCAACTAGATTAAAATAAGTAACAAATCTGTATACAAAATATAAGTTTGCAATGGAAATTAAAATATGAGGCAAGAAATGAAAATGGTCCGCACCTGCAGTGTACAATTCTCTTTTCGTTTGAGGAACTCCACAAACCTGGCCACTACTCCTGGTGTGCTGATGACTTCATCAATAGGAGGATTAGGTTCTGTCTCCCCATAAAATAAAAGAAGAAAAACAATCCTTTGATTTCAAGTCAAGGACTTTATAAAGCTCAAACTTACTTCATAATATCCCTCCCTCAATTTTAGCATCTCTTTCATGTTGGAAATCTAAAAAAGAAAAAAAAAATGTAAAATTGAGTTCTGTCACTTTGAAACTAGGGTAACTTAAAAGATTTCAAAATAAGGGAAGCCTTAACATGAAATGATGGGCAGAATTTCTAAAAATTAAAAATCACTGCCTCTGTTATTTTAGAAAACTTAGAAAGTAGGGGAAAAACATCAAAAGACAAACACTGTTAAGTCTTTTTTTTTTAAACAAAAATTGTCTTAAGAAACTGGATTAGGAGATTCTGTGCTTACAGGATCTAATTTTACAGCTGTAGTGATAAGTAGGGGCCAACAAAAATAAGAATGACTTGCCAGATTCATCTGATTTTCATTTATGACAATAGAGTATCTTATAAACAAAGTCAGTCAACAGAAATATGTTGGGTAAATAGGTAAGAAATGTCCTAAACAATCAGCATTGTAATTTCAGCAAGAGATCTGACGAAGTTTTTGATGACATTCATGCAGCTCTGCAAGAAAAATGGCAGCTGGATGACAGTACTACTAGGGACTCTTAGCAAAGTCAACAGGCTCACTGCAAAGAGATGACTAATGGTTCAATGTTAATTTAGAGCAAGCTCTAATGACATATTCTCTGCCTGGTTCAACATTTTTATCAACCATTCATATAAACACAACAAATAAATTTGATGATTACAATAAAAATGAAGTCATTAATATGTTAGATTACAGAAAGAACATATAGAAAGAACAGTAAGCCAAGCTGGCAATAAAACAACAGGGATAAAGCAACATTCAGCTTTTAAAGAAATTTTAAAAATTCACATGGCTACACAGACAAAACCTAAAAACAGTCCCTAAAGGAAAGTATTAGGGAGTATAGACTGTTGAAAAAGCAAAGAAACATTACTATGCCATGGCCACCAAAATAAATGATGCTAGCCTGAAGTACATTATTGTAATATATAGTTTCAAGACAAAGAAGACAATTTCCCACCACACTTTAGAGTAATAAGAATGTAGTAAGTATCATATTCTAATTATCACATTTTAAGAATGGCTGGAAAACCAGAATACAGGCAGTGAAGTAGTACAGTGGTGAAAGGCCTTAGAAAACCACACGCCTTAGAAAACCACACTGTCTGAGAAAACCATCTCAGAATGCTAAAAAGAGTTAAGACATTTTTTGAAGGGGGCAGGGAGAGGGAGGTATTTTTAACAGGCTGCTGTGCACAAGACAATTATCTTTTGCTATGGTGGTACATTTTAATTCTAGTTATCCTCAAGAGATATATTAATTTATCACTAATGATTCCAAATAACCATAACCTACTATTGGGGGACGGGGAGGAAGGCCAATTATTTTAAGTATTTACTATCAATATTTCCATACGGCTTAAGAGTTCCAGAGTTCTTACGTGCCCAGAAGACAAGAAGTATCCTATCTCATCCTACTCTAATTTACAAAAAAAAAAAAAAGCAGTTATCCTGTCCACTAATAAATCCATACTTAAATCAGCAATAAATTGCTAACATTAAAATCAACAATCACTACTCTTCCAAGTGACTTTAAGTTTTTCTTAAAAAAGAGTGGAGTTTCTCATTTTAAATTAACATGAAATGTTGCTACTCTTATCACTTTTAAGATCTTTTATAAAATACCTCAGATATGAAAATAATGCCATCTTCTGGTACTGGTAAGATCACTCAAATAAAAGAAGAAATTAAAAAACTAGCCATGGCTCATAATATACATATATCTGTAAGCATCCTTTTATTCTGTTGATAGACATATTCCAAATCAGGCCTATCTACATGAGAAAAATAGATTATGGCAAAGTAATATTTTGTACATAAATGAAAAATACTTAACATATTCAGAACTCACCTTTTGAAAGCAGTTTTCTGAACTTCTGTGTTGCTGAAAGCTGTTGCTCTGGGCTATTGGAAAATATCATTTCAATCATGTCAGAAGTAATAACACCACCCTGAAATCACAAACAGAAAGCAAATATAATAAAATTTTAACTTAAACGCAAAGGAAAACAAAGATAAATTGTGGCCAACTTAGTGAGTTACACAAAGGTAGTATAATCTTTGCATGTATAAATGCGTGAGATGATTAATAATGCGATGAAACCAAAAATCTTTGTCTATTATTAAAAAACTCACAACTGTAGAGAGAGTAACCTTAATAGTAAACACTAAGATAAGGCATTTATTATTCTTCCTCTCCTGCTCATCACATGGCTGGCTGTTCCTTGCATTCAGATTAAGTGTTAAGTTCTAAAACAAGGCTTTTCCTGACCTCCAAATCTAAAGCAGCTACTCTATCTCTACCACATCATTCTACTTCAATCCTATGCCCAGCCCTTTCAACTATCATTCTTCTTAGTTACCTGTTAAATGCTTAGGTCCCCCCAGTATTCTATAAGCTTCATGAAAGCCAAACACCCTATCTTACCACTATCTCTGATGGCTGGCATACTGTGGATGCGCAACAAATATTTACTGAATGAATACAGAGTAGTCTTGTATAAATCACAGATTCTAGCCACTACCAAATTCAACAGCTGACTCTTAAAGTTTCTATTTTCTTGCTTTATAAAAACCTTTCGGTTTCCCACTAGTCTCTCTTGCTTTATTAGTGCTTTCCCAAAACCCATCCCCAGCATTATACTTCTCAGGATCACTTGTCACAATGAAATAAAGTTCTTATTATTTCATGAAAGGTAATAAATCCTGAAGAAAACTGCACTAAGTTATAAATGCTAGATGGCTGGTAAGCAATATCTAACACTTAAGAATAAAGGGTAAAAATAGTAGAGACCTAATAGATGTTGAAGAGATCAAGAAGAGATGGAAAGAATAAACGGAAGAACTGTATAAAAAAGATTTTAATGAATCAGATTACTACAGTGGTGTGGTTAGTCACCCAGAGCCAGATATTCTGAAGTGCAAAGTCAAGTGGGCCTTAAGAAGCACTGCTGTTAATAAAGTTAGTGGATGCAATGAAATTCCAGCAGAATTATTCAAATCCCTAAAGGATGATGGCATCAAGGTTTTGCATTCATTATGTCAGCAAATCTGGAACACCCAGCTTCGCAGCCACAGGACTGGAAAAGGTCAATCCTCATTCCAGTTCCCAAGAAGGGTAGTACCAAAGAATGTGCTAACAATCAGATGAGTGCTAACCACTGCATTCATCTCCCATGCCAATAAGGTCAGGCTTAAAATCTTACATGCTAGGCATCAGCACTGTGCAAACCAAGAACTTTCAGATGTCCAAGCTGGGTTCAGAAAAGGAAGAGGAACTAGAGATCAAATTGCCAACATTTGCTGGATTATAGAGAAAGCAAGGGAATTTCAGAAAAACATCTATATGTTTCCTCGACTATGCTAAAGCCTTGGACTATGTAGATCATGACAAACTGTGAAAAGGTCTTAAGAGAGATGGGAATACCAGACCATTTTACCTGTCTCCTAAAAAACCTGTATGCGGGTCAAGAAGCAATAGTTAGAACCCTATATGGAAAAACTGACTGATTCAAGATTGAGAAAGGAGTACAATAGGACTGTCTGCTGTCACCCTATTTATTTAACCTATATGCTCATGAGAAATGCCAGGCTGGATGAGTTACAAGCTGGAATCAAGATGGGTGGGAGAAACATCGACAACCTCAGATATGAAATGACACCACACTAATGGCAGAAAGTGAAGAGGAACTAAAGAGCCTATTGTCGAGGGTGAAGGACGAGAGTGAAAGAGCCGGCTTAAGACCAAATATTAAAAAAACTAATATCATGGCATCTGGCCCATTACTACATGGCAAATAGAAGGGGAAAAGGTGGAAATAGTGACTGATTTCCTCTTCTTAGGCTCCAAAATCACTGTAGATGGTGACTGCAGCCATATCAGAAAATGATTACTTCTTGGCAGGAAAGTGATGACAAGCCTAGTCAGTGGGTTGAAAAGCAGAGACATTGCTCTGCTGACAAAGGTCCATATAGTCAAGGCTATGGTCTTCCCAGTGGTCACACACAACTGTGAGAGCTAGACCATAAAGAAGACAGAATGCCAAAGAATCAATGCCCTCAAACTGTGGTGCTGCAGAAGACTCCTTAAAGTCCCTTGGACAGCAGGGAGATCAAACCAGTCGATCTTAAGGGAGATCAATCCTGAATATTCACTGGAAGGACTGATGGTAAATCTGAAGCTCCAGTATTTTGGTCATCTGATGCGAACAGACGACTAATTGGAAAAGTCCCTGATGCTGTGAAAGATTGAGGGCCGAAGGAGAAGAGAGCGTCAGAGGATGAGATGGCTGGTCAGCATCACTGATGCAATGAACATGAACTCAGGCAAACTCCAGGAGAGGATAAGGGACAGGGAGACCTGGCGTGCTGCAGTCCATGGGGTCACAGAGTCAGACACAATTGGGTGACTGAATAATAACATTCTGAATAACCCATGGGAGAATGAAGCATTCTGCTCTTAAGAGTCAGGAAAGTAACTACTTTGAAACTTGTAAGTCTGATTCCTGAATAAACAAAAGTACCTATATGATCCTGTTAAGAATATGCTTTCACAAATATCTTTGCTTTCTTCCCTCTCTCATCCCTTTATCATGTAAGATATATTGACTTTACATTTACAGTATTTAAATACCGTTAACTTTACATCATAGCAAGTTAAAGGATATCAAAGAGGGAAATAACATCACTCAAGGACTTTTCCCCTTCTGAGGAAAAGGTTAGTAGATCTTCAGCTGCATGAAGGATAGCTTGTATCATGTTATGAGGATGTATGATCTTGTCATTGTCTTTATCTGAGACTCAGTTTAAAGAGTTGCATATGAATGCCACAATGACAAGGAGTAGGTTGGGATAGTCAATTTTATGTGTCAACTTGGTTAGGTTGTGGTACCCAGCTGTTTGGACAAGCAACAGTCTAAATGTTGCTGTGAAGGTTATTTTTTAGATGTGAATAACATTTTAATCAATACACATTATCCTCCAAAATGTGTGTGGGCTTTATGCAATCAGTTGAAGGGCAAAGATTTCTTAAAAGAAGGAAATCAGTTTCAAACTTTTACCTAAATTTCCAGCCTAGTGGCTTACCCTACAAATTTCAGACTTATCAGCTCCAACAATTGGATGAGCCAATTACTGAAAAATCAAATATCAATGGATCAACCAATCTCTCTCTTCCTCTCTCCCAACCCCAAAATTTTTTCCATTAACTCTGTAGAACCCTAATACAGTTCACAAAATACATCATGATCATTTAACATCTACTTGGAAAAAAAAAAAAGACAGCTCAACTTCCTGAAGAGTCTGTTAAGAATTCACCACAAAATAATAGTGTTGGCAACACGTCTACATAGATTTCAAAGCAATTTAAACTGCTCTAATCCCAAAAGAAAGTTGGTCCAAAAAAATTGAAAGAGAAAAAAAATCTGTAAAATACTGTGCATAATACACTATTATTTGTCAAAAAGAGGGGGATTTTTCTCAAAAGGAGTTAAGAATTTAGTAACAGTGGCTGCCAGTGGGGATAGAAATTGGGTGAATAAGGTAGAAGAGAAAAATTTTTCTTTTTTTGAAAATCATGTATATATATGATTTTTTAAAACATTATATACAATTGATTAAAATAAACTGAAAACCTAGACAAGTGTTATATCCATATAAATAAAGCATAATTTTTATCTGTTTATGTAACCCTCAAGAAAGTTACAAAATGGGTTATAACAGAAATTTTCAATAGCTGTGATGTAGAACCAATGTTTTAAAACATATGAATATGTCCAATTTTGTAATTGGAATGAGTAACAAATTGGGAATTCCTTTAAAGCATGCCTTGTTATCAACTTTTTTTTTTCTTTAACTTTTTAAAATTTATTTATTTAAATTGGAGGCTAATTACTTTACAATATTGTGGGAGTTTCTGCCATACACTCACATGAATCAACCATGGGTGTACACGTGTTCCCCATCCTGAACCCCCCTCCCACCTCCCTCAGGGTCATCCCAGTGTACCAGTACCCTGTCTCATGCATCGAACCTGGACTGGCAATCTATTCACATATGACAATACACATGTTTCAATGCTATTTGCTCAAATCATCCCACCCTCACCTTCTCCCACAGAGTCCAAAAGTCTGTTCTTTACATCTGTTGAGTCTTGCTGTCTCGCATACAGGGTCATTGTTACCATTTTTCTAAATTCCGTATGTGTGCATTATTATACTGTATTGGTGCTTTTCTTTCTGACTTAACTTCGCTCTGTATAACAGGTTCCAGTTTCATCCACCTCATTAGAACTGATTCAAATGCAAAAATTCAAGAATGCTTCCTGAATCTGCATGTCATCCTTGCACAGGGGCCAAGCTAATCTTCTCTTTATCATTTCAATTTAGTATATGTGCTGCGGAAACGAGAACTTTAACTTTTTATTTTGTACTGGGGTATGGCTGATTATAACAATATTGTGACAGTTTCAGGTGAACAGCAAAGCCCTTGTTATCAACTTTTAAGGAATAATTTTATAACTATCTTTTAAAGTTTCAACAGCTGACTTAATCTTCATAATTTAGTTAATTCTGTTAAACTGCATGCTGTTCAAAATATAATAAACATTTACTGAACCTTGAGTTTACAGATAGTTTTCTTTTAAAAATGAAACACCAAGTACTTTCTGTAGCCATCTAACCTATTTTTTTAATTCTTTTCTTGGCTCCACCTCATGGCTTTCAGGATCTCAGTTTCCCAACCATGGATTGAATATAGGCCACAGTCATGAAAGCCCAGAATCCTAATCACTAGGCCACCACCTCATGGCTTTCAGAATCTCAGTTTCTCAACCATGGATTGAATATAGGCCACAGTCATGAAAGCCCAGAATCCTAATCACTAGGCCACCAGGGAACTCCCCTACCTTTTTTTTTTTAAACTCCAAAAAAGATCTAAACCTCATATCTTCATCAGAAAAAAGTAAAAAGCATTTATTTCATTATCCTACTTACTGGTGCCATCTCCATGTTATTAATCTGAGCCTCATGGAAGCCTCCATCTGACATAACTTCTTCTTCTGTTTCTTCTTCTGCTGTAGCAACATTTCTTCTCTTGAATAACTGAAAAATAAAAGGCTGTTACTAAACTAATTCTAACACAAGGTAGTTCAACATTCAAACACTAGGCACCCCACTTTTAAAACGCAATAAAGATGGCGCTTTCTGAAAATCATTTTTAAAATTCTAACATTTGTGCCTCCTTCAACCTTTCTGATGAGGAACTATTTCAGAATTCTCGTCTTATAATCTAATGCAATTAACTACTACAAAATATTACCACCAACACTTGATGAGGTAAAATTTAGCAATAGAGGCCTGACACTACATGACACATTAAAAAAAAAGTAAAGTTGAAAAAGAAGCAGGGCATGCTTGGTCATTTCACTCTTGAAGTAGCTGATAGGACAGACTTACCAATACATTAGGAAAAATAGGATAAAAATGCTAGGACAACTTAATACCTCCCTCCTAACCCTAATGGATGGTGGATAAAGGTTTCCTAACCTTCCCTATCTGTCCAGCAACCAATGATGACAAATGACGACTGCTTGAACACTACTTTTAAAGCACTTATTAATTTGTGGAGGCAAAGGGAGAATAGTTGTGATTAAAGGAAACCCACTACAGTGCCTTCCATTATACCAGGAAGTACACTTATTCATCAAGCCATGGTAGAGTAATAACTTATCCTCTCACTCTATATGATTAAAAAAAGCAGACAAAATCCCTAAAATAATAGTTATCAGACACCAGATTACAGGCAACAGAGGCAGTGATCCTTCAGAAGAAGAGAAACAAGATTAGTCCTATTGCCTCAGATTGCCTGGATGGAGTTTCTAGGATGCAGCACAGATAGAGTGAACCTAACAGGGTCAAGCAGCCCCCTCAATTGAGGAGACACCATTCAGAACCAAGGAGGCCAAGACACCTAGAATCTAAAGGCAGGGTATTGAAGACAAGAAATCACCAAAAAGAAAGAACTCTAAAACCTGCAGAAGGTTCCCCTTAATTAGCTTTGTACTGACAAGCACAGGTGGTGCGAGGAAATAGTCAAAAGCTAGAAAAGAAATTGCCTTCAAGGAGCATGCAGAACAATTTTATAGGTCACACAGGTTAAGAAATCATTCATGTTTCAGCTGGCTGGAATAGAAAAGTGTAGGGTTCCCTGGTGGCTCACTTGCAATGCTGGAGATCTAAGTTCCATCCTTGGGTTGGGAAGACCTAATATATGGGGCACTGAGTAGAATACCCAGAAGGGTACTGACTCAGCAGTAAGGTAACTTAGTCCCAGATTATACATGCAAACTGGCTTCAAGTAACTTAGCTACATGCAATGACAAATTCAAAGAATTAGACATATTAAAAGAATACAAAAACTCCAACAACAGGAGGTAAAAATTACAATGCTCTGTATTCAATCAATAACTACAAGTACACACAAGAAGTAAAAGACTACCTATGAGGAAAAGAAAAGACGATCATCAATCAAGATTACCTAGAAATGAAAAAGATGACAGAACTGGACAAGGAATTAAAATAGTTATAAATATATTCCATGTGTTCAAAAATACAAAAAAGTATAAACACGATGAGAGATTTTTTAGAAATACATTTAAAAAAAAGGAAATCAAACACCTAGATATAAAAAATGTAACTTTATGAAAAGTATGTTGGATGTGATTAAGAGCAGATATTGTAGAAGAAAAGATTAGGGAATCTAAGGACATCACAAAATAAAAGAGATGGAAAAAAAGGCTGAGAAAATATGTACAAAATATAAGTCAGCTGTGTGACATCAAGTACTTACTGTACGTGTAACTGGAGCCTCAAGGTGGGGGTAGGGAAATAAATTTGGAAAATCAGTGGCCAAAACTTTTCCAAATCTGTGAAAAATACAAACCCACAAATCCAAAATCTCTAAGAACTCCAGGAAGAAATATGAAGAAAACATGATAGGACATTGTATCAAACTGTTTACATTCAGGAATAAAAAAAAAAAAACCAAAGCAGCCAAAGGTAAAAAGACATTTTACATGCAGGGAAACAAAGGTAAGACCAACAGAAGACTTGCTGCTGGAAACAATGGAAGCCGCTGAGTATGGATCAAACCCATTTAAAGTTATCAAAAGAGATTCTGGTATAGCCACTACAGAAGTTCCTCAAAAAATGAAAAAAGAATGAAATTTTGCTATTTCCAACAAAGTAGATGAACCTAGAGAGGATTATGCTTAGTGAAATAAGTCAGAAAGAAAGACAACAGATATAAATGTTATCATTTATATCCAGAATCTAAAACATAAAAAAAAAATATCAAAGGAAAACAGACTCACAGATGGAAAAAAAAATTAACTATCCTTCCTATATATATCATATACCAGTGTTAGCTATGGTCATGAGGTACACTGTATCCCTAGCATTTATGTATCTTGTACCTGGAAGTCTGTGCCTTTGGACCACCTTCCTCCAATTCTCCCTGCCCTAATCATCCACATCTGGTACCTACAAGTCTGAACTCTTTTTCTAGGAGTTCAGGGTTTTTGTTTTTAGATTTCACATATAAGTACATGTCTTTCTCTGGCTTATCTCACTCCACACAATGCCTTCAAAGTCTATCCAAAGCTATTTTAAAACTTTAAAATAAGTTTTAAAGAAGACAGAAACTACCAAAACAATCATCATTTATATACCAAATACAGACTGCAGTTGCCTGAAATTGTCAACAAGTTATTCAATGGGAAAAGTCGGCTGTCTACAAGTTTTATCAACTTGCTTGCTTCACAAGATATTTCTTGTAACTAGAAACATCAAGCAAACCTTCATTCTTTATCATTATAGCTTTAACAAACTTTTTGGCAGCATTATGTTACCTACTCAGAGTGAGTTAGCAAGATTCTGCTTATTTCAAAATATTTTAATAGTAACTGTAAATTTCATCTTTTTATACATAAAAAATATAAAACTGGCTCAATCAGAATGACATCAAATAATAAATTTAAAATTTTGTTCTACTGGCATCAAATAAACAAAGGTCATTTATATAGAGCTGCCTAAATAACAGATACTAAGTACTAGTCTCCTAAAGGAAAGCTCTAACAGCTCTGCTGTTATCTTCTGTATACTAGGCAGCATCAATTCCTGTACTACCCTCAAATCTAACTGCACAGCTGGCCGAAGCCTGTGACTTTTCCCGATAGATGACTGAGCAACTGTGGAAAGAGAAACAGAACTTAAATGAATCTGTTTTTTAATGATGTTTACTATTTTACAAATTAGGCATGAAAACAAGTACTGCTGTGATAAGAAGCCGCCTAATTTGCTTTACCAGTTCTCCCTACATAAGATGGCACATATGAAACAACAAAATTAAAATTTTAAATAGAATAATATTCCAGAACCCTATCATAGAAACCTATTAAGGCCCTATTACAGTTCCAGATGTCATACAATGAAGATGACAGAACATCAACTACAAAGGTTTTTAGTCAGGTAAATGGGACCATACTTGCCACTGACAGAGCACCTACCTTCAGGCAATTGAATATGAAAAACTTATTTTGTTTATATAAATTTTACAATGAAGTCTAATAACATGAAGTTCCTATCACCAAGAAGAAAACAGTATAAAATAAATACTGTTATTGGCAGACTGCCATTACATCATCTTCAAATGGCTTTATGCTAAATATAACGCATAGTCTACTGGTTATATTCAGATCTATACTTGTTCTTGTATGCATACATACATGTAATTCATATTTACATGTGAATATAAATATGTAACAGTGCTGTTGTAATTTCTGCAATTTACCCCCATAATAGAAGCTAAATAATAGCTCATCCAAAGAAAAGGTTCCACTTCAAATAAGACACAGAGACGAATAAAGATGCAACAAGAAACCAAAAGAAACTCATCCTTTTATGAATAAGTGGTTGCTTTCACAAGATGGTAAAGCGGACTGTTAAAAACTTAATTTGCTATACTTGGACTTCAAATAATTGGATATTCTAGTGCAGTGTTATGCAAAAGAATAGTGTGTGTTGAATAACTCACCGTAACTAAAATATTTATAACAGATTACCTATTTCCCAGGTACAAAGGGTACCGACTCATTCACCTACCTTATATGGAGCTTTTTATAGTGTGGGGGTCAAATGGTCCTTCCAAACTGAAGTCTTAGCAAAAAAAAAAAAAAAAAAAAGACCTAAGTCCTCTACCTTTAAATTTCCTGGCCAAACGTGATGGACCATTTGTCCTAAGGATTTTTAGAGAAAGGTAAAATGACAGTGAGTGTCAGATTCTCCTGTAGATGCTCTAAGGTTAAAAATGATCAAAATTCTTGTCCTAAGTGTCATTATGAATGATACAGAATTTAGGGGTAAAAAGACTTACTTCTTGAAATTTTGTTTAAAATACTAGGTAATAAAGAAATATAAAGATACAAAGACAGATACAAAACAAGTACAGCAAACTGTTGACAAGCAATGAACCCAAAGGATGGGTTTATGAGATTCATTATCTATTCTTTATTTCTATACATGTTGATAAATTTTCAAATTAAACTTTAGAAGGAAAAGCAAGGGACCAATTATCAAATTGGTCACTTGAGAATTCATTAATACACACACAATCTTTTTTTTTCCTCCACACAAAGAATCTTAAAAGAAGCTGTAACTTTAGAAAAATAAAACAAACAGGCCAAAATATTAAATAGTAATTAAACAGCAATTGGGAACATGAGAACCTCATTCTTATATTCTACTTTACATCACCTCCACTCCCATACCCCTAAAATAAGCTGACTTTATAGTTGGGAAGGGGACATATGTATCTATATATTAAACATTATTAAAAGTAAGATACAGGAAGGTGAAGTCAGGATTGAAATAGAACATTAAGTTCTTTAAGAAAAATTAGTATGGGTAAAGGATTTACCTGCTCTTCTCTTTTCTGTTTACGTAACTGTAGTCCTTCTTCCTCCCTCCTCCTGCGCATCTCATCAGGATTCAGGGACTTATTTTTGTAACTTTTCAGGCGAAAGTTCTCTTTTCCTGGAGTAGTCATGATTTCTACAAAAATAAGAGAGGAAACAGAGGAGCTCAGCTTACTAGGAGAGCTCTGCTACTTTAATAGTTCACATTTTTGTACAATTCAGTGTCTTTTAGCATATTCACAATTATATACAATCAACACCACGGTCAATTTTTAAACATTTTCACCACCTCAAAAAGCTATTGCTTCTGGATATTTCATATGAATTGAATACGTGTGATCTTCTGTGCCTGGTTTCTTCCACTTAGCATAGTATTTTCAAAGCTCATCCAAGTTGCAGCATATATTAGTACTTTATTCCTTTTTGACTGAATAATACCCCATTGTATAGATACACTCCATTATATTTATCCACTCATCAAATGATGGACATCCGGGTTCTTTCCATTTTTTGGCTACTCTGAAAAGTGTTTCCATAAACACTTATGGACAAGTTTTTATGCAGATCTGTTGTCATTTCAAGTAGTACCAAACTATTTTTCCAAAGTGGCTGCACCATTTTACATTTACAAAAGCAGTGTACAAGGGTTGCCAGTTTCTCCACATCCTCACCAACACCTGCTATCACAGCTTTTTTTTAAACTGAAAGATAGCTGATTTACAATACTTTGTTAGTTTCAGGTGTATAGCAAAGAAGCACAACCTTTTTGATTCTAGCCATTCTAGTGGGATAGATGTCTTTAAACCTATTTGTTTGCCAATTATACATCCTCCATAAAAATTTCTATTCAGATTCTTTGCCCATTTTTAAATTGGGTTGTCATTTTTACCACTGAGCTGTAAGAATTCTTTATTCTACATAGAAGTCCCTGTCAGATATATGACTTGTTAATATCTTCTTCCATTTTATAGGTTGTCAAATTTTCATTTTGTTGATAGCATATTTTGTAATTTTTTAAATTTTATTTTTAGCCGCATCAGGTCTTAGTTGCAGCACACAGGCTTCTCTCTATTGGTGGCACAGACTTAGTTGCCCTGCAGCATGTGGGATACCTCAGTTCCCTGATAAGGGACTGAATCTGTGTCTCCTGCAATGGAAGGTGGATTCTTAACCACTGGACCACCAGGGAAGGTCCAATGTTATACTTTGAAGCACAAAAGTTTTTAATGTTCTTAGTGCCATACTCAGCGATTCTTAACCCTCAGTTTCATTCTAAGAGTTTTAGAGTCTTATCTCTCATATTTAGGTTTATCATCCATTTTGAGTTAAGTATGGTTTGACGTTTAAGGATCCAACTACATTATTTTGCACATGGCTACCAATTGTTCCAGCACTACTGAAAAAGGAAAAAACCATTCTTTCTCTTTTGTATAGTCTTGATGCTCTTGTTGAAAATCAGTCAATTACAGATAAGTTTTATTTCTCACCTTTCAATTCTATTCCCTTGATCTGTATATGTATCCTTGTGCCAATTCCACAAAGCCTTGCTTACTAATTTTTTTTAAAGTCTTAACATCATGAAGTATGAATCGTCTTTTATTCACTTTTTTTTTTTAAAGACTATTTTCACTCACCTGGATGGATACACTGTGAGTGTATTATTCCATGTGACTATTAGAATTCCATGTGACTTTTAGAATCAGTCTGTCAAGTTCTACAAGAAGTCAGGTGGCATTCCAATACGAACTGCATGGAATCTGTAAATCAATCTGGAGAGTACTGCCACCTTAATGTTAATCTTCCAACCCATGAAGACAATTTTTTTTTTACTTAGATATTTAATGTCTTTCAACAAAGTCTTGTAGTTTTCAGAGTATATCACATTTGTTAAATTCACCAAGTATTTTTATGCTATTGTAGATGGAATTATTTTCTTAACTTACCTTTGAATTATTCATAACAAATCTATATAAATACAATCAATTTTTATATGTTGACTTTTGTATTCCACAACCTTGCAGAACTGAACTTGTTAATGTGAGTATTTTATTAGTGGATTCTTTAGGATTTTTTGCATACGAGACCATGTCATCTGCCAGAGATAGTTTCGCTACTTTCATTCCTTTTCTTCTTCTTGCATAACTGCCAAGATCAGAACTTCCAATACAATTTCATATAGAAGTGGAGAGTTGACAATCTTGTCTTACATCTCCAATCTTACGGGAATGTATCCAGTATTTCAACACCAAGTGTGATGTCACCTTCCAAATTTTCACAGATGTTCTTTTTATCATGTGGAGGAAGTTCTTTCTTAATACATATTCTCATGCTTTCTCTTTTGATCAGTAAAGGGTATTAGAATTTTGTCAAAAAAGTTTTTCTATCTATTGCAAAGACGGTAACTTTTGTTTTTTATTTACTGCTACATTATTACATAATTGGTTTGTGAACCTTGCATTTCTGGGATAAATGCCACTTGGTCATGCTGTATAAATCTCTTTATGTGTTGCTGACTTTAGTTTGCTAGTATTTTATTGAGAATTGTGTGTTCATATTCATAAGAGATATTGGTCTGTACTCCCCTTATGATGTCCTCAGCATCAGGGTAATATTAGCTTTATAAAATATGTTGGGAAGTATTCCTCCTTTCAGTTTTTTGCAAGAGTTGGTGAAGAATTAGTCAATTCTTTAAACGTTTGGTAGAATTCAGCAGGATAGGGCTTTTCTTTGCAGGAGGTTTTATGATTAATCCAATCTCTTCACTTGTTGCAGGTCTACTCAGATTATCTGTTTAAGTCAGTTTTAAAAATGTGCCCATTTTATTTAAGCTGCGTGTCCATTTTACCTAACCTATGAAACTTACTGGAGTAGGAAATGGCAACCCACTCCAGTATTCTTGCTGGAAAAGTCCATGGACACAGGAGCCTGATGGGGTACAGTCCACGGGGTTGCAAAGAGTCAGACACCAAGCATGCACGAATCCATGTAACACTGGTACACAGCTGTTCATAAAATTCCATCATCATCCTCTTATTTTTAGTTATGTTCCTTCTTTCATCTTTGACTCTAGTAACTTGAGTTTTCTTTCTCAACCTAGCAAAGGTTTCTCAATTTTGTTGGTTCTCTCAAAGAACCAGTTTTTGGTCTCCTTAATTTTCTCTGTTTTTCTATTTTCTAGTTCATTAATTTTTACCTTATTTTTACTACTTCCATCCTTTTATTTTGCTCTTCTTTTTCCAGTGATTTACTAAAGAAGGTTAGGTTATTGATTTGAGATTGTTCCTCTTTCTTAATTTAGGCATTTATTGCTAGAAATTTCCCTCTAAGCACTGCTTTAGTTGTATCCCCTAAGTTTTCTTAGGTGCTAACTTCACTTTCATTTATCTTAAAAGTATTTCCTGATTTCCATTTCTTCTCTGACCCACTGACTATTTAGGAGTACGTTCCTTAACTTCCACATATTTGTAAGTTCCCCAAATTCCTTTCTGCTTTCATTTCTAATTTCTTTTCACAGCAGTCAGAGAACATCCTTTGTACTATTTCAATCCTCTTAAATGTGTTAGGTTTGTCTTTTGGCATAGCACGTGGTGTGTCCTAAAATATGTCCCACATGCACTCAAGAAGAATATATATGTTCTGCTGTTGCTAGGTGGTGATGTGTTCTATACATATCTGCTGGGTCTAGATGGTTATAGTGTTGTTTCCTTTTTTATTTTTTTATTGAAGGATAATTGCTTTACAGAATTTTGTTGTTTTCTGTCAAACTTCAACATGAATCAGCCATGCTGCTGCTGCTGCTAAGTCGCGTCAGTCGTGTCCAACTCTGTGCGACCCCACAGACGGCAGCCCACCAGGCTTCGCCGTCACTGGGATTCTCCAGGCAAGAGAACCGAAGTGGGCTGCCATTGCCTCTTCAGAATCAGCCACAGGTGTACATATATCCCCTCCCTTTGGAACCGCCCTCCCATCTTTCTCCCCGTCCCACCCTTTTAGGTTGATTCAGAGTTCTTATTTGAGAGTTTCCTGAGCCATACAGCAAACTTCCGTTGACTTTCTATTGTACATATGGTAATGCAAGTCTCCATGTTACTTTTTCCATACATCTCACCCTCTCCACCCCTCTCATGTCCATATATAGTGTTGTTTCTTTTCTGACCTTATGCTAAGTGGTCCATCATTGAAATTACAGTAATTGAAGTCTCCCAACCATTATTGTTGAACTATTTCCTTTTCTTTTCTGTCAGTTTTTGCTTCTTTCATTTTGATGCTATTATTAGGTACATATAATAACTTTGACCTATCTAATGAATTGACCTTTTTATCACCATAAAGTGTCTCTCTCTTCTCTAGTAACATTGTTTTAAAATCTATTCTGTTATTAGTATAGCCACTCCAGCTTCTTCCTAGTTGCTAGTTATTCATCTTTTTCCATACTTATACCTTTGATGTATCTGTATGTTTAAACTTAAAATATGTCTCAGGGATTTCCCTAGCAGTTCAGTGGTTAGGACTCCATACTTCCATTGTAGGGAGCATGGGTCCAATCTCCAGCCAGGGAACTAAGATCCCATGTGCCACGATGCAGCCAAAAAATAAAATAAGGTAAATAACATATGTCTCTTATAGAGAGTATATAGTTGGATCCAGTCTGAATTTCTGCATTTCTAATTAGACTGTTTAATCAATTCATATTTAGTCTTATTACCAATACAGTTGGAGTGGTGACTGCTTTTTCATTTCTTATTTTGTCTCATGTCTTTTGTTCCTTTATTACTCTATCACTGCTTTCTTTTGTAATAAGTAATTTTTAATGAAACACTTAAAAATTTCTATAGTGATTTTTCACTGTACTTTTTTTGTTTTTCCCCCCTAGTAGTTGCTCAAGGGCTTTCCATACACTTTCACTTCTCAGAATCAGCTTCAGACTTAACACTCCCTTAATTCCAAGGAGATATAGAAACATTATGTTATATAATTCTATCCCTTTTCCCATTTTATCATACTGTTGTTATATAATATTACAAACCCAACAACAGTTATTATTACTTTATGTTATAAACAACATAAAATAAATAACATCTATGTTATTTCCTTAGCTTAACATAGTTTTGTTCCCACTCACCTACTCTGAGCTGC